AAAGATGGTTTTGCTCAAACAAAGCAGAAATATGTCAGCCCTCCAACAAGTGTTCATGTGGAAACACCTTAAGGCCCATAGTCTTCAGAAAGGAGGTTCTCCAGAAGGTTTTGCTACGTTCATGTACTTCAAGGGATTGTAAGGGAAGAACCTAGGCTCCAAATCCAGTGGGTGTTTCTGGAAATCTTGCCTGTCAGTCCTACACGTTGGTAGGCAAGCATTTTTATCCCAAGTGTTTGGCTGTAAAGAATATTCTTTTTTAGAGGGAGCTTGCTGAGCAGTTTGTGGCTCAGTTGCGCACAAGGCGACTGTTGAATGGTTAATAGAGGTAGCGTTCATGTCTGAAAAGAATAACGGAACCTCAGGGTATGTGATGCAATTCCAGTAACATGAAATGGAACGTTTCAGATATTCTGAGAAATAAATGTTTCCTGCCTTTTCAGGTATCAGACAGTAAATTAACTAGCAGTGATTTTCAGCTATCACTCATTGATTTAGGACTGATCTCTTACTGTAGCAGAAGTCAATACTGAAACTACTCAGTGCAGAAGAGATTGCAGTTCCTAGTGATGGTTTCCAGAGTTCTTTAAAAGCATGTTAATGTAATGACATGTAAATTTTGAATGCTGGTTGTGACAAAGACATAGGTAAGACACTGGCATTCACAGTGGAAATGAGCACATACTGAATGACCCAGTAACCCTGAAATTGTCAATAAGTCAGTGGAAGAAAATTTGCCAGAAATTGTGCCAGTGAAAACAAATATGATTTCGCTCTTATGTCATTGGAGGGTGCATACGTGTTGTTCAGATATACACTGGAGGCAAGCAGTTTTGTTTTTCTGGGTTTTTCACTCAAGATGTGCTGAAGCATTTTAATGTGTGATTACTGAAACACTGGGACTGTGACCTCAGTGCTTCGTAGTGAGATCTAGAGCCTTTCACCTCTAGGTCACGGGTTCAGGTCTGCCTCAAGTTAAGGGTGACTAAAACTTGTTACCACCTGACAGCTGTTCATTGCTCTTGGGGGAGGGAGACATGGTGGTCCTTACATAGTTCTTAACAATCCAGCATCCATGCTGACAATTACAGCTCTCTTCCAGCCACTCAGAAAGGGCAAAGAATTTAGTACCTTGACCAGCTTCTATTTGAGTCAGTGTGGAAGTTTAGGAGGAGCAGCAGTGTGTTTCATGGTATGGGGTGCTAACTTGTTCAAAGCAGATCTCATGTGTTACAGCAAAATGCTAAGAAGGAAGCCTGGGGTGGGGGGGAAGGGGAAGACACTTTCCACTTCTCTGGAGAAAAAAAACACATTATTTTAAGAACGAGTAATATTCAACAAAAAAGATGCTTGTCAATAAGACTATCTCACATTGAACACTGGTCTTCAAACATATTTCTGAGAATTAGGACCTGATATTAAGTAAGAAATGGTGCTAGGACATGATATTACTACTTTGTTGTGATTTTTTTACCCCTTTTTAAAAATCTGTTAGCAAAATTGTAGAGCTGGCATTGTATCTCATTTCTAGGCTAGTAGATTGCAGGTGTAGTAAGCAGACACCCAGAATCTGATGACACTGTTGGAATGATAGAATCATAGACTCAACTAGATTGGAAAAGACCATTAAGATCATCAAGTCTGCTGAATTGTGTTACCACTGGCCATGAAACAACTTACTGATCTGTTATTTAAATCAGCATTTCGGCTTGTGGGAATATGTGTTACTAACTCTAGGCACTAAATCATAAGGAATCATGTAAAACAGGACTTAATGTCACCAAGTGGCTTTTGATATATTGAAAAAGGAGACTGACGTGGATTTTGTCACCTGTATATTAAAGTGAAATAGTTCTGTCTGTCTTTGACATGGAATAAAATGGGAAATAATGGTACTGTATTCCATAAGTACAATTTAAATCAGTAGCATTTTAAGTGTAAAATGTTGTTGTCACCAAATATATGAAAGCACTCCATAAAGGAAAATCACAAAACACCAGAATTTTGTTCCCTGGTTATGTTTTCCATTATATCATTTTGTCCTGTAGTATGGAAATCCCATTACTATAATGTGTGTTATCTTGTTGGTTTTTTTTTCATGCAATTGCAAAAAAATGACTTTCTGTGAAGTGTGTGTGTTTAGCATAGTACTGCATAGTACTTCAGCACAGTAAGGTGAGAGGCTTCAGGTGCATTTCAGTGGTTTCTCTCTTAGTTTTTTTGCACCAGCTATGAATAGTCTGAAAAAAAAGCCCCCCAAAAGGCAACAAGGGACTTGATTTTTAAAAAGAGCATATTCAGCCGATTGTGCCGATTGTGAAGGCTTAAGATCTCTGGGTATGGCAGCTTCCAGTGATCTTTGCAAACTTTTAATTAAAATAAATGAAAACATAACTGGTAGAAACTTTTTAAATTCCCTTTTGCTCTTTATTGTTCCTCTTATGTTGAAAGGCCACTGATGTATCCACTTGCTTCCGGTCTGTCCACGTATTTTCACATAATCTAACTTTGGCAGTCAGAATTTTTCTCTGCAATCTACATTTATAATTTCTTAGAACCTGGGTGTTACGTTAGAAAGTGTTACGTATAAAGTACCTACAATTGCCTGTACTCTATTTGGCTGAAGAAACATACAAAACAGATCCATCAAGGAAATAATTAAATGGTGTAATGCTTTAAGAAGAATGTGGAGTGGATCTACTGCTGGGTTCTGGAATGTGCGCCTGCCTTCTTGGGTGGTTTTACTATTCCTGTTTTGAATGTTAAAAGGGGAAAAAAAACAGCTTCTGTTCTGATGACTGACTTGTGTTATGCAATTCTGAATTCTAAATCTGCCTTGTTCAGTGAAGTTAATGTGGTTTGACAGCACCTTGATTAGGAAGCAATCATTTCTGTTGATAGTAAACAGTTAGTCACTTTCAGCAGAGATAGGAATGCCACCCTTTGTCTTGCATGAAGTATGATTTGTTGGTTCAAGTCCTGGTTAAATTCAAAAGGAAACTGTGGGTAGAATGGGAAAGAATATAGCATCAGAAGTTTATGGTAGACTCCACAGCCCTCGTAAAACTGGGCCGTTATTGTCCTGACTGGCATTGAGACACAAAAGAGGGAGAGGGACATTTTGCCTTTGGAAACATTTGCGGTGTAAAGGACTGAAAAAGAAAGCTCTGGTTCAAAGAATTACAGATTAGGAAAACTCTTCTCCCTTACCCCCAGCCTATATTCCTATAAAATGAAGCAAAATTTGTTAGTATTTCATAGACCACTGGTTGGTGGAGAAAGGTGGCATGAACACAAACCTGATGAGTGAAAGTACTTTCAGGGTTTAATTCTTGATAAAACTTAACAATAACTTTTTGTTACCATGCATATGCAGTCTCAGTGATTGTCTATTCTCCCACTCTACTACGAGGGATGTTAAGAAGTTGTAAAGGGACTCTAGGTAAGGAAGTTGTGCTTTGGTTTTTCTTTTTTCCTTCCTTACTGTGAACTGGTCACTGTTTATTTGGAGGACGGAGGTAATGCACGTGTGACAGGCTGAAAAAATGGAGTGTGTTGTGGAAACACTTATTTCTTCAAAGAATTCTTGAACAAGAAATTAAGCAATGCTTCATGCCAGAATGACTGTATGGTTTAATTGTTGGGGGTCTCATTCTGACAGCTTTATCCATGCAGGGGCCCAGCTTCTTGCCTGGTGGTCCTTTTAGCTCCAGGGGGCTACGGGTGGGTTGAAGGCCCAAGTGATTGAAAAAGTATGTCCCTGTTCAGGCTTGGGAATGCCATCTCCTGTGCTGCCAACTGGTTACTGATCAGTTTTCTGCTATACAACCCAGGAGGAGATAGATGTACATGCCTAATTTCTGTTCACACTGTTGCAGAGCTAAACCTTGGCAGTAATTCAGATCACCAGTGCCAAGCTGACTAGGACTGAAAAAAAATGTAACAAATTAGACCAGGTCTGTAGCTTGGACTCAGCAGAGCAATAAAGGTAGTAAATTGTAAGGGATGGAAACAACATGTTAGTGGTATTCTTCTCCTCCTCATCTGGATGTGGTCTTGATTCGGCTAATTAATTGACCCTGCCTCCCACGTGCATTTGTTGGAGACACTACAGGGGAGATTGTATAAAGTAGATGAACTCTAGCTGAATGCTTTTTTTGTAAGAGGGAAGATAATTTTCAATTCTTACCTGGTATTTTCTGTCAAGGCAAATTGAATATGGCTCCCTCTAGAGCCTGTCAACTCTACTGCTTCTCTCTGCCTTTTTTCTTCTCCCCCCAAATCCCCACCATGTCTTACTATGGGGCACACCATTCAGCTCACAAGGGTTGAAAAACAGATGTTGCTCATGAATGATCCCCTGTATCACAGCATGTTGTGCAGGTTCTGGACCACTGGAGTAAACTAGTGTCTGCTGTACTCACAACTGCATCTCTTCATGTGAAATTGGTAGTTATTTCCCCCCCTTTTTTTTAAATTTTATTTAAGGCTGGAAGAAGTATTCCTGCACACTTACTGTTTTGCTCCTCCCTTTCTTAACTGAAGAGAAGCATTCTGCCTTTGCCAAACTATTTAGGAGAAGAGTGTAAATTAAAACCATTTATCTTGAAATGTGCTATTGGAGTGGACTGTTTATACAAGTGTAAGAAAGTGTAGGTAGCATTTGGTTTGGTCTGCAAGGAAAAGGTTTTTCTTTTTTGCTTGCTTTTTTATTAATTTTTACATATGGGATATTGGTTATAATATAGACAAAAGTATTTGAGGCTCCAGTTTACATGTCAGTGTTTTAGTGCAGGGGAGGCAACGGTAGGTTAATGAGGAACATAGGTTTTTTGCAGTGTTACTCAAATATTAGTTTTAAAGTTATACTGTCATCAGTTTGAGACCAAATAACGCATAAACATGATGGTCAAGTTTTTCTGACAGGAGAGTGCTCATCAAGTGAATCTAGAATAAACAGTCACTGGCTAATAACAAAGCTGTTGATATTTATCCATCAGTTGGTGGACGAGTGAGTCGGGAGTTAAATTACACACGACAGAAGATTGGAGAAGAGGCCATGTTTAACCCTCAGCTCATGATCCAGACTCCACAGGAAGATGGTGCTAATGTACTAACAACAGAAGCACTCCGACAGCACCTTGACTCTGCACTTCAGGCCAGCAGAGTACATGTCTATATGTACAACAGGTAAGTGAAAAAGCAAAAGTTTTCTTACCATCTCTAACAGCTAAAAAGTGGGCACATGCTTCCCTCCATCTATTTTTAAACAGCACTTCAGAGCCTTTCACTTTGGGCTATGTTTTGATTTGAGTGTCGCTGGTTTCTGATACTTGACTTTGTGCCATCATAGTGGTGACAAGTTGGCTTTTAACAAATAAGAAGGGGTAAGTGGTGTTGGAAGAGACTGTGAGAGTGTACCCCTATGGGCAGCGCTGCAGTATCCAGCATTGGTCTTGGTAAAGGAGTGGTGTCTGTACTCTTAAATGTAGGATCTTATGGTTGGGATTCCTCACATTGAAAACCCCTCCATATTAGAGCTGAATTCAGTTGCTGACACCATCATGAGCTACATAATGATTGTGATCAGCAGCACAGGTTACCATCCATCTAATAGTTCGGATATAAAGGGAAATGGCAGTGGGTGAAATAATAGCTGTTTAATAACATAGTACAGCTGGTCTTCAGAGTGTCTATGTGTGCAGCTGAAGGTTGGAAGCTGTGTGTGGTCCAACAAAAAATAATAAAGGTGCACCTTAGTAAGGTACCAGCTTTAGGCTAGTAAGATGTCTCCCTGAAAAGTGGTTCCTCTGGGGTTTCTACTTACATGATTATCTGCCTAGGGGTGCTGCCTGTGAGGTATGAAGCCCCCTGTCTTTTAGCCCATCTTTTCAGCACATCCAGCTGATGCCTCAATGAACTAATGCTGAAGCTCCATTTATCTTTAACCCAGATCCTGCCTTCTCTAAGGTCTTAGAAGTCATGGCAGTGGAAGTTGACTCATAGCTGAAACAGGAGGGCAGAAATCATAATGATTTCATTTCTTCTGCATCTGTGGGTCAGCTGGGAATAGTCTAGTCTTCTGAGCTGGAGCTGGCTTCTCTCTCACTTCTGTCACTGAGTGGCATCTTAAGTCACAAGCAGTCTCATTTATATAAAGATGGATTTTTGTCCTTTTAACAGGTATTGACTAGCCTGAACATCCAGAAGCAGCTCCATTGTTTTTAATGAGTTTTACAGAGAGTGTGAGAATAACTGAAACAAATATCTTGTCTGTAACTACAAAAAGAAAGGCATTTCCTTTTTTTGTTTTTTTTGGTGAGGCATTTTCATCTATGCTGAATACTGCTTGCCTTTCTCAATGCTTTACTTACTGCTTGAGGCCAGTATGTGTATATGAGTTACAATTTTAAATGTCTATTACATTTTAAAGATAATTTTTCAGTAATTGTATAAGAAAATGTCCTGCAATAGCTACTAAGAAGGAGAAAAATAACTGTTACAGCTGAACCCAGAGAGAAAAAAAATTGTTCTTTATGTTTCTTACAGACAGTGGAAATTGGAACATTTGTGTTACAAATCAGGAGAACTCATCACAGAAGCAGGTTACATGGACCAGGTATGTGCAGTCAGCACCTGGTTACAAGATTCGTCTATTTTCATGATTCAGCTTGTGCTGTTTTGATTATATTTTAGTATAACTGTGGTTTTCCCCTTTTTGATTTTGACAGATCATAGAATATCTTTATCCTTGCTTAATTATCACTCCTTTGGACTGCTTCTGGGAGGGAGCAAAGCTACAGTCAGGAACTGCCTATCTTTTGTAAGCATGATTTTTTATAACTTTCTGTTATAATGAAGTCTGGTCTGACTGCTTCTCATTGTGTAACTGTATATGATTTTTCAGTTGCATTCCCATTGTTTACTCAGATTCTGGTTTAGCAGAAAAATAAAAGACAAAGTGTACTGTCTCTACAGAAAATACACATGGATTTTTGGTTATTTTTTCCTCCACTGACAAAAGATTTTCCTTTTTCTAAGAGGTGATTTATAGCATTGATTTAAATCCTACCTTATTTTTCCCTTTCTGTGAGCATGCAGAAAAGTTTTTCTGAATTGAAGCTTTAAGAATTGTGTGTCTTTTTTTTTTTTTTCCTCCCTGAGATAAACTTGTTTCTGGTGTTTGCTTTGGTTTGGTTTGATTTTGTGTATGTACCACCTCTCTCCCCTCATTTCCCCCTCCCCCCAAAAAATTAGTTGGCTGGGAATTCCTAAGAAAATGTCTTGGCTTAAATCTCAAGTCTTCCTGAGGACTAAAGAGCAAATCCTTTGCTTATAAGATCATTAAAGAAACCATATAGTATCTTTTATGGGTGGTTTCTCACAGTTTACAAGTGTGATATAATATGCCCTGAATCCTTTAAAGAGTTAACTGTTAATCTGTGCAGGCATTTTCTGTTAATTATGCAAGAGTTAGCATTTAAGTTATTGTTTCTGTCCTGGTTTGCATGTCTCTGTAAAAGCAATTTGCAATGGCCATCTTCTAACCTTTAGTGTACAGTTTTAGATGGGGAAATAAGGGGTTTTGTGTTTTCTGGTTGGGAGATTCAGAATAATGACTTAAGCCTGGTTAAGCAGATACAGTGTGGTTTGAATCGCAGAATAAGGCAGCCAAAAGCCTTTCTAGTCTGTCAACATCACAAATTCAGGAGTGGGGGGTGGAAGACTTGACAGCGATAGTGGTGACAACCATGGTAGCAGGAGAGCTTGATGGTTGATAGTCAAGCTGCCAGGTCATTTGAAGGAGAGCAGCATTGTTAAACAAAGATCAGTTATATTGATTGATTACATTTGCAAGATGATTAGTAGACTAGCAAGAAGTAATCTGATACTATGAGAAAGGCTTTCTTTCCTCAGCTCCCTCTCTTTTTTCCCTTTCCCCTCCCCCCCTAATTCTTTGAAGCAGCAGTTGGCTGCTTTTTTGTTATTTAGGTGCTTGATGATTTGTTTTGCTTTGCTTGTAAATGGAAGTATTTTTGACCTGTGGTTATTCCACAGTTCTTTTTAAGACCTGAATATTTTTGTTAAATTTGCAACTGGGCTGCAAGAAAAGTACATAAATCTAATTAAAACATGCCTTACATTTTACAAAACAAACTTATGGGAAAAAGTTTTACCTTATAATGGAAAATAACTCGTTTATTTGTGCAAATATGAAATTTAAAAGTATGTTTGTTTTGGTACTTCTTTTGTCTTTTCTGTGTGTGTCATTCTCTCCTGGTTTTTCTTGCAGAGGGAAGCCTCCTTTACAGTGGATCAACTTTGACCCCTTAGAATTCTTGGAAGAGTTAAAGAAAATAAACTACCAAGTGGAGAGCTGGGAAGAAATGCTGAATAAAGCAGAGGTTGGTCATGGTTATATGGATCGACCCTGCTTGAATCCTGCTGATCCCGATTGCCCAATTACAGCTCCCAATAAAAATTCCACTAAAGTGAGTTTCATTGTCCTTGTGTATATCTTTTCAAGTGTGGCTGAGGTTGCTGGGGGTGAGAGAGAGGAGAAAAGAAGGTACCATTTTCTTCCAAGCTATATATAGTTTGTATTCTTGAGTGATAAATTCTTTCTGTTCCTGTTACATGCACTTAGCCCACAGTTATGAAGTTTCCCTCATTCTGTGGTACGGTGCTTGAGCCCATGTATTTAAACTGAGAGTGCACTTGTCAGCTACGGTCTGAGAATGGCAATCTGGTGATGTGGCACTTGAGCAAACCTGATGACTTTGACATAGCCACTTCTGGAATACAGCTGACACTATACGCTTGTGCAGTGCAGCAAAGCCTTCTTTCAAAGTAGCGTCAGTTTTGCTGACTTTTTTGGAGAATTTGAAGTCACAGACCCCAGTTTTATGTGTCCCTTTATCAGTTACTTCACACTGTGGAGAAATTACAGTCTAGTCTACACGTATCCATCTGATCTGTTCAGTCTGATTTGTTGAAAACATTTCTCTTCCTAGATCTCCTGGATTGTGTGTTTAATGCGTGTTATTCTGGTATACTGGGTGTTGAATTAGGGTATGAGTTTGTCTAAAGATATGAAACTGATTAATTGTTTCTTAAAAACTTTTTCTAGCCTCTTGATGTAGCCCCTGTTTTGAGTGGTGGATGCTATGGACTGTCAAGAAAATACATGCATTGGCAAGAGGAGTTAATTATAGGTGGTACAGTCAAGAACAGTTCTGGTAAACTTGTCAGGTAAATGTTTAAAGAAAACGTCAAAGTTTTTCTTTGTTAGAGTTTGAGTTCTGGGGTATGGGGGAGGATCATGCAAAATCTACTGCCCTTCACGAATCTCAGTTTAGGAGGACATGTCTCAAGAGAAAGAACTTAAAAGTGATTAGGTAGTTTAAATTTAAGGAATAGTCATTGCTTCCTGCTTCTAACCTCAGAATGCTAATGTACGTTGCTCAGAAAGAAAGCTTTTTCTTGGCAATTTTATTTATAGAATGCGTGTTGAACAGTGTTTAAAGCACTGAACACTTTTGAGCATGTTTTGAAATACCATCAAAGTAAAAGGAGGAGGAAAAACAATTTGGATAATGTGGCATTCATTTGACTTGTCAGAATTCCAGAATCTCCACTGAACTTCTTGTTCAGGATCAGTATAGAGAAAAGTCTGTTTCTATGTCTATGTTTTGAGCGGTAAAACAAACCTGTTTGTTTCAGACTTCTTGAAGAAGTCATGGAATATTGGACTTCAGTGGGGAAAAAAGCCTGTGAAATAGAACTGTCCTGAAAACTGTAGACCATGCTAAGCTAAATGAAGTGTGACCAGTAGGTTGAAAGAGGTTATTCTGCCCCTCTCCTCTCTCTCTTGAGACCCCACTGGGTGCAGTTCTGATGTCCCCAGCATAAGAAGGACATGGAGCTGTTGGAGCAAATCCAGAGGAGGGCCTCAAGGATGATCAGGAGGCTGGAGCACCTCCCATATGAAGACAGGCTGAGAAAGTTGGGGCCTGGAGAAGAGAAGGCTGCATGGAGACCTCATAGCAGCCTTGCAGTATCTGAAAGCAGGCTGCAAGGATGCCAGAGAGGGACTCTTCATCAGGGACTGTAGTGATAGGACAAGAGGTAATGGGTTCATACTTAAACAGGAGAGATTTAGGTTAGATATGAGGAAGAAGTTCTTTACTGTGAGGGTGGTGAGGCGCTGGAACAGGTTGCCAACGAATTTGTGAATGCTCCATCCCTGGCAGTGTTCAAGACCAGGTTGGAGGAGGCTTTGAGCAACCTGATCTAGTGTGAGGTGTCCCTGCCCATGGCAGAGGGCTGGAACTGGATGATCTTAAGGTCCTTTCCAACCCAAGCCATTCTGTGATTCTACAATTCTTCCATATATAATATAGAGAACTTTTACTAGAACTTTTAATATGAATGTTGACCTTTTTTACATGCACACTAAACATTGGTAATTCTTTGAACAAGTAGCCAAATTATGCATTTTTAATGAAAAATAAGATAGTTTCTTAATCTTCTAAAACTATCGGTTACATTTGCACACTGTGGAAATTCAAGATGGATAGTGGTTTTCATTGTGTAGTCCTTGCAGATTGTCAGGCATCAGGAATTTAATCTGGCATTTGTCTCCAAGGGATGAAAGAGATCAAGGTATTCAAATGACAAATTGCCAACAGCATTTACAAGATCTCATAGAAATAAGTGTTCCTGTGGCATCCTCACAGTAATCTGTCTATCAATCATGATCTTTATAACTGATTTGTAGGGTTACTTTCTTTGCTCCTGAAACTGATCCTATTGAAAATGACGGCAAAATTCTCATTAACTTCAGTGAAACCAGATTTAGCCTCAATATTTGCATAGACCAGTACAGATGCATCGGATACACAGTAGAATAATTATACTCTGTTAAATTTTAATACAAACATGTGCCTTATAAAACAAGAACTCATGCAAGCTCCTGTTAGAGTCTCATTTGGGACTTGATGTCATAAAAATAATTTCCTGAAAATGCTCATTTTATGCCTCTTCCTTCTCTATACTCTTCTCTCCATGTCACAGTGCCCAGGCTTTGCAAACCATGTTTCAGTTAATGACTCCTAAGCAAATGTATGAGCACTTCAAGGGGTATGAATATGTTTCACATATCAACTGGAATGAGGATAAGGCAGCAGCAATTCTGGAAGCCTGGCAGAGGATGTATGTTGAGGTAAAATTAAAAATAACCTAGATAACATACTATGAAGTCCTGCAAAGATCCACTGGCTTCTGTCACAGCTTTTCTTCAAGGAAGATGCTTAAACTAGAACTGAGTTATTGCCTCGCAGTTTTTAAGTTGCCTCCTCCCCTCCAATGAAGGAGCTGCTTATTATTCACATATGAGAAGCCATGAAAGTTTTGCTCTTTGCTGTCTGGGACACTTGGTTTGCTGGGGCTGAAAAAGAACCGGAGAGTTAGCTGGCATTCAAAACTTTTGGTTGGCATGGTTATTCTAAGGGTGCCTGGAAAACATTAGCCAGTCACAGGCTGCTCTCCCAGCAGCAGCCCTGGTGGGAAGGCTGTGTGACAGTACATGGTCTCTGTGTCCCAAGCTCTGACCTCTGCTGCACTGCTTCTGACCTCTGTGAATGGCCCAGGTGGGGAGGGGGAAAGAGGAGTACTTGAGAGATTGCTGGGCTTAGGCTAAAGGCAAAATTCATACTGCAGTAAATGCATGGTGGAGTTACGGGAGGAGTGTTACAGTTAAACGTTTGGAACGGGCTAGGAAAGCAATAGCCTTTCCTGAAAGATGCAAATTCATGTCTGATAATCAGTAGTTTGCAAACACATTTGTGTAGCATCAGCATAATCTCTGTGTAGGGTGCTGGCTTTTGCAGAGACATTAAGGCTAAAGTAGTTGATTTCAGATGTGTGCTGTAGAAGATGGTAATTTTTTCTTTAGTCACAACTAATTTTATTTTTCTTTTCATAGGTTGTTCATCAAAGTGTTGCACAAAACTCTACTCAGAAGGTGCTCTCCTTTACTACGACCACCCTGGATGACATCCTAAAGTCATTTTCTGATGTCAGTGTTATCAGAGTAGCTAGTGGCTACTTACTAATGGTAATAAAATAAATGTATTTAATTTTCTCTGGTAGTAGAGCAGGGATTAAATATTTTATTGTTACCAGTCAGCAGTCCAGAACATTTTAGATATATGTATCAACTACAGTTTGTAAACTTGTCTCAGGCTTGTCACCTGTTTCTCTGTGTGACATTTGTGATGTGTCTATTCTATTTAAAAATGTTTGTATTTTGGTTGATAAGAGATAGCTGTTAGACAAGGATCCATTCTGACATTTTGCTTTTTTCCCCTCAACTCCTTCCCCCTCCCCTTGCTTTAGCTTGCCTACGCCTGTTTAACAATGCTGCGGTGGGACTGTGCCAAGTCTCAGGGTGCCGTGGGGCTGGCAGGAGTCTTGTTGGTTGCACTCTCAGTGGCTGCAGGATTGGGCCTGTGCTCATTGATTGGAATTTCCTTTAATGCTGCCACAACTCAGGTATTTAGGAGACACAAGTCTGCTGTTAAATTACAAGTACTCTGCTAGTAAATGAACACAACTGAATCTTTAGGGGGCAAAAAACCTGCAAAAGTATTTTGGCATGAGATTTTTATTTGTGCCTTTCTCCCATCTCATAGCTTTTGCTGTAAGAAATTATGTGGTCATGCTGTAAAATGATACTGAAAGGCAAATATCATGCAGTTTGTATAATTACTAGATTCTGGGTTATTTGATTTTTCTGTTCCCAGCATGAGTGGAGGCATCCAGTTGTACATAATAAGTTGTAGGTTTTGTCTTTACATCTGAATTATCAGGATGCTTAGATTTTGCAAATATTTTTACTATAGCTTGAATTATTGTCAGATATTTCTTGTCTACCCCAAAATTGAATTATTTTTTGTGTACCTGTAAATGGTATGCTGCAAGTTCCTCAGCAGTATTCCAGAATAAAAGTTAATAGCTGTATCACATCCTTTTGATTTTCATGTTACCCTTGGATTTGTGAATAGTGTAATGTAAGTTGCTTTAATTAGCCATTTAATGGGTAGCTGCATGGCAGATCATAAAACAGCTTTCTTGTTTGTTTTTTGTTTGTTTCTCCCCCAAGGTTTTGCCTTTTCTTGCTCTTGGAGTTGGTGTAGACGATGTTTTCCTTCTGGCACATGCATTTAGTGAAACAGGGCAGAATAAGAGAATTCCATTTGAGGTAATAACGAATGGGGATTTGGGGGAAGATAAAACAAAAGGTGTTATGTAGGAAAAGATAACTGTATCCAGAATTAATTAGCAGTGATTAGAAAAACCTATATTTTTTCTTAAAAGCTTTTCCTAGGGTCTGGAAATTCTTATTTCTGTCAAAATAGGAAATAATGGCAATACATATGATCATAGAATGTTTTGGAAGGTTCAGATTCTTTTTTCTTTTTTAATAGTGTCTTAGATTTATTTTGACTTGAAATTTAAAATGTATAATTGTCATACAAAGACTAATTTTTGTCGTCCAAATTCTGCCCAAAATTTCAACAAAAGTAAGTGTAAATTTAGGAACAAACTCAAATACAAGTCTGACAATTAAATGATAGAATGCTTTCAATGGAAGAATGCAAAAATTTGAATGTGTAATGATTGAGGAGAAGGAGAGCTTAGAAAACAAAGATTTCTCTTTTTTGTATCAACTACTGGCTTTACTTATTTGTTTTGGTCTTAAATTTGAGTTATTTTCTATTTTTTGGGGGGGCTTCTGTTCTGGTGTTTGTAGTTGACTATAACATTTCAAAGTATAACATATTAATGTTATGAAATCTATGGTGTCATCAGTTCTATGATTCTTTCCTTTTATTGACCTTTTCACATGCAGTCCAAAGTTTCATATCCAAACTACAAGCCATTTAAAAGCAGTGTATATTTGTTGATGCTGTATTGTACAAGCAGTGTCTTTCTTGGGCTCTTTCCAGCTGATTTGGCATGCAGGCACTACAACTCAGTCTACTACAACCTCCATATGCTTCAAAATAGCCTGTTGGGTTGGGAAAGGGTCATGTGTTTATCTTGATTTCCCTCTGTTTTTTGTGTGTGTTGTCTGGGTTTTGGGTTGGTGGTTTGTTTTTTTTTTTTTCTTACATACTTCTTCAAGATACATAGGTATGTTATGCCTCATGCTGTTAATACATGCTTATTTTGCTTGAAAAATGGGAACACCAAGTGGGACTAGTGGAAAATACATCCTACTTAAATACACATATATTTGATATAATGTCAGTTTGATATAATGGATTTGATATAACGACAGTGATATAATGGGTTTATATCTGATATAAACCCATCTTATATATCTGATATAAACCCATTTAGTTTTGTGTTCTGAATCAGCTCTGATAATATTTTCTACCCACAAACAGCATGAACTCTTCATGTGCCATCTGCTTTTCTCCTAAACAGAGTACTTTGTATATTGTTTATTCTCACTATTTTCAAACGCACACCTGTGTTCAGAATTTCATTGTAATAATTTTTCACTGTTACTGTGTTATATCTGTCAGATGACCCCTTCGTTTGCAGGACATCACCTTATTCACTTGACTTTTAAAATACATCATTTGTTTTGCAGGACAGAACAGGTGAATGTTTGAAGCGAACAGGAGCAAGTGTAGCCCTTACATCTATCAGCAATGTTACTGCTTTCTTTATGGCTGCCTTAATCCCTATTCCTGCTTTACGAGCATTTTCACTCCAAGTAAGTTTGTATGCTCTTTGTTGGCTCTTATGTGTGGTCCCATCATGGAAAGCCAATGATGATACCTGTTAGTAGTAGTGTTAAAGTTTGCATTCAGTGTTACTGCAGTTCACTGAACCAGTGTGTGATCACTGTTTACCATAGATCTGGGTGATAACAGCTCCTGTCTGCCCTTGATTCTGCTCCTCCCATTTCACATGCCTGCAGTCTCTTGCATCCTGTTGGCAGGTGAAAGAATACACTGCTTCATCATTGGGTTGAGTGGAAAGTTCGAGATGTATGTAACTAAGAAGAAACAGTTCTTCAGAAAGATTTGCATTAAGTCAAGAGGAGTAGACTGTGCTTTACTGTGTATTGTAACATTCCTCATAGGAATTCAGTCTTCCATTCATGCTTGTCTCATTTGCTGCTCTTAAAAACTATAACCATTGTGCAATGACAGCAGCAAATATGCATTTGCCATTATTAATTATTATTGTAGCAGTTTGTACTCCTTACTTCCAACATAATTTTAGCAAACTTGGAGAAAGCTTGAAGAATTTTACATTCCAATTGCTTTGAGAGAAAATGTGAATTTTATGTGCTGAACCATGTATTGCTTGCTCTATCTTTCTCCCTTTGTCTTTTTGTATTCGTTTGGACAATATACCTTCAGGAATATGAAATAGTAAGGATGCTGGAGAAAGCTTTCTTCTGCAAGCAAGGGCTCTTTGAAGAAAGCTCTGGGAGTTCCTCCCCTGACACAAGCAATTTATAGCGCTGTCTGACCTTGGTACAGAGCAGGCAAACTTACTTTTTCAGTAGTTATTTTTCCTCTGCTATAGCCTGGTTGTCCAATCATTTTTCATTCTCCTTGAGCCCTTGGCTACCCAGAGGAAACAAGGGCTGCAATTTTTCTTAATACATGTGGCAATTGTTTTCAAAGATTTATGTACACCTTCATTAAGCTGTAAAATGGTAAACTGTTTGAGATTGCAGTTATGTTACCAATAAGCATTAATAGTTTGTTTACCACTTTCTCTCAGTAGGCAGTTTCATAGTGGATAATAAAAGAAAGTAAAAGCCTGTTTGGTTTTAAGCACTTTTTTGCAGATGTCTGTGGCAGCTAAAACTGGATTCCTAGTCCTGATGGATTAGCAATATTTAGCTCTCCTGATTTGCCAAAACCCTAGATTTCTATTCTTATAGGGCATGTGACAGTGAATTGTTTTATTTTATGGCAAAGAACAGTGCCAATGTGTGAAATATATTTTGAAGTGTAACACTTCTTGTGTTGGAAGAGGTTACTCATGTCTTCTAAATCTGTGGCCCAAACACATTCAACATGTAATTTAAGCAGCCAACAGGCTGCTGGAGATCTTCACTGGGAATCAGTTGTTCAGCCTAAATGCATTTTATAACAACTATCCAATAGTGATAGGCCTTTTTGTCCTAATTGCACTGCTAACCTGTTGAATGTGAGCCACCAAAATTAATTCTTCCTTATCTGATGAAATTTTGCTCAGCCTTTCTCTGTTCTTGCTCTTCACATGACATGTTCATTGTATTCATCAGAATGTGACAGGTTGCTTTTGGAACGTACATGAAGACAACATCTGTAATTGTTACTGTAATCTAAGTATAAGTTAAATACACCTTTCTAAAGTCTTTTCTTTTTGAAAGACCTTGCTGCCACACTGTAGTCTGAGTCAGTGAAAGTTCATAAAATGAAGTCTGCACAGCAAAATGACAAACAAAAAGTTTCCAGTGCGATTTCAACATATTCATGTACAAACATGTTATTATTCAGAATAAAAACATCACGATCTCAGTCCTTTCTAAGGCAGTGATTAATATGGAATCTATGTGTAGGAATGTTTGGGTGTCCAGAAATTAATGTTTGAGTTGCTCAATCTTTCTCTCACATGCATCTGTAATTTGTCTTTGCTTGAGCATAGTAACCCCTTATATATATACAAGAGATGGAAAAATATGCAAAAAAAAAAAAAAAGAGAGCTGGAGACCTGTAATAAAGATTTACTGATGGCAGAGCAATATATATGACTGATATGTATATAATTAACCACTAAAATAACACCCTTTGTTGTTAGAAAGGAACACCTATTACTTGCTTTGCCTATCTTCACCAGGTAAAATCAAAATCAGGTGATACATTAATCATAACATTCAGAATCACATAACTATGGCAGATTTTGGTGGGTGGTCTGTATTTATATATGGATTTCTTTATTTCCAGTCTTCTTCCTCCCTCTCCCTTTTACTCAGGCTTGTTTAAACAAGAAAGTCCTTGCAGTCTTTGATAGCTTCCTAGGAAGACTTAGAAAGCAATGAAATAGTGCATTTACTTTTCACAGATGCTGCCTTCTTCTCATCTAGATAGTGAATTTTTAACAGATGGCTTAAAAAACAGATTGCTCTTGACCTTGTTTTGCTCTTCATTCACTTTTTTTGAGACATTGCAAGATAATTGTCAAAGTTTCCATAACTTTTGAGGCCCAGTATCTGTAAAGTAACCCAGCTGCTGAGGGAGAATAAATGGCTTCCTGCATCTACAAGCCCAGCTTTTAGTTAGAATCTCACAGGAGACAGGGACTGTTTTAGCTTTTTCTTCTTTTCTTTTTTTTTTTTCATTTGTTGATCTTACTAGCTCCTTATTTAAGAAGTGTTAGGGCAGAGTTGCTGAACATGTCCCAGATACTGAGTTACAAGAATCACCTGTAAGAGTGCTCAGGACTTTGAAGGAGGAAGTCTTTAGTTTCCAGATGTGTTTTGTTTCTTAAAATTGTGGCAGAGGAACAGGTTATCAGGGAAATCCACTGAAGGTTTTTGAGGTTTGTAGTAAGAATGTCTTAAACATAGCCCTTTGTTTTGAGTATAAATGAAGGAAGGCAGGGCAGAGCCAGATTATTCAAACACCATTACGGAATAAATTCTGCCCAGGAAAGAGAAGCTTCACAAAAAGTCATCTAACTCTTCTTGCTTACACCAGAAACTTCCTCCCCTAGCAGCAGAGGAGTGGTGTGGATTCACTAATGAGCAGGCGTGGAACTTTTCCCAATAAGTCTTAGCTGTAACTTTTTCCCTCACCAGAAGAATGACAATTTTTTTTTTCCTAAATGTACCAGGTGGTGTGGTGGCGGGTTTGTGGAGAGGAAGAATGTAAGTTTTTAAGCTCATTCAGTTATCTTGCTCGCTGAAGTAGTTTGTCCTCCTCCTTTTACTCACATAATTTACCTTTGCCTGCTCCTGACGTGAGAATTTAACAAGAAAAATTAAAGCCTGAGGGAAAAGGTGGGGCACAGGGGCGATCTGGGTCTGTACACTGTCAGGAGGGAGTTGCAGATAGAGAGCAGTAGGGTGGAAGTTTCCCTGATGGACCTCCTCATCTCTTCATCACCTCTGGTTATACAGCACACCCGTTCTCCTTGGGTGGGCTGCCAGGAACAGCACATAGCAGCACATACCTTTGGTGGGGCCCCAGCCTACCAGCCTGGCTCATGTCTCCTTTGCTGCCTCCAGCACAGACTGCCATTCTTCTGTCTCCGTTAACAGTTGCAGCAGGAATAATATTTTTAGGCTGTGCATTATGAAAAGATGCAAAAAGCGGAGTATGTTTCTCAGGAAGTGGCCAACATTTTTTTCTGATTAATGGAATTTTTTTACTACTCTCTGATCTCATTTCACTGAATGCTTTCATTTTACACTCTTGAGTAGGCCCCATTTTATCCCTTCTAGGACTAATACTACCTGTGTTGATTTCTCAAGGAAAAGGTCTAAGGCCCTTTCCCACTTGACCATTCATCTCTGAAGGGGTAAGAGAAGATGCCCTGTTTCCAAAAATCTGAAGCATGCAGTCAGGTTGGGTGCTGCTAACAGATTGCCTGGAAGCTCTGCTACAACATATTTTGTTGCTACTTTTACAATCAGTGTAATAGTTACTGCTTGTGGGGAATTACAGTGGCCACATTTCTCATACGTTCCTCTTCCCAGCCACCAGATATCTAAATGGTATTGGAGGGGGAGCAGTGGCTGATGCATCCGGTCAGGCACTGACTCACCCATCAACAGTTCTTCCTTTCCACTCCTTATCAAGTGACCACGTGTTTTTTGATGGGACGACAAATTAAAGCTGGTACAGGAACAATATTTTCTGTATTTAATTGTGAAAACTGAGAACATCCTTGAATATCTGAGGAGATGGGTGAGGGAGAGACAGTGTGCAATAAGAAGTGAGGTGTTAAGTTCTAGGAATTTATTTAAGTCCAAATCAGAACAGTAAGGATTGTTTAAAAATACTTTACTTGCAGGTTTGGTACACCAACACCCTAAAAAGGGGTCTAAGAGGGATGCCATGTTATTAGGCAGATTCACTCTGTGTTGTTGGGTTAGTTTTGATGCTTCTTAAAAATCCAGTGTGAATATAACTAACTTTAATGGCATCTCTACCACACTCTTTATTTTCCAGGTTTAGTGGCATTTGAGATTCAAGGATGTTGGGGTTTACAAAGGGAACTGATATTGCATGAAGTGTTTGCATTTTTTGGAACAGAGGACTCCTGTTAGTTTTTCAGCCATGCTGAGAGGAGTAAAAATTACTGGGTCAAGCCTCACCTGTTTTTTCCAAATCTCACTACATCTTAGCAGATCCTTGATATAAGATCTTGGATAGACACAACTAGTTATTCATGTTATATGGGTGATTCAGCCTTCTCTGGTTTAGCAGCAATAAAGCAAGCAGTTGTGTGAACTAGGTCCAGCAAACAGCTTGCTTGCAACAGCAGCCATTTGTTTTTCTGACAGATTCAATTAATTCTAGAGAGAATTAAAAGGAAATCACTTAATTTTAAAGTTTTGGTTATGACCTTATATACCTTTCTGCATGGATATTTCTAAATCATGAAACAGTCACTGGATCTTTTTTCTCAAAGATGGCTAAACACTAATTTGGCTTTTAAGTACTTGGTAAATTCTGGTTTAGTAGCTATGTCTGTGAACAACCAGCAGGACCAAAATCATACTTCAGGCAGGCTAGAGAGAACAAAAGAGAAACACCAATAGAAAATAATTCTGTTTGCAACATATTTATGATTGAATTATTAGAAAATATTTACATAACTAGTTGATTCTGTCGTTTTCAGAGAAGTAAAACCAGTATCTAGTCTTTTTATTATACTTCAACAGCTTCAAAACCCTTGAAATCATTCAGTGTGTTAGTACTTTGATTTTCACAGATAAATGCAAAAATAAAAATGTTGTTGTTTAGCCATTTTATATTATTTATTTGACATGTAAGCCAAGAATTTTGAAAACATGGATACTGGATATCACATCTTTTTAGCTACCAGCTTTGAGGCCTGATTTTTCAACATCAAAAGCAGCCATTCATTTGTTCTGAAAAAAGGAGGGCCTATTTGTATCAGGTCAGCGACTTCATTTTTGTAGCCCAGCCTTTCTTCTTTTTTTATGACTGCTTTAACCTAAGTGGTCGTTACTTTAGAAGTTACAGGTGGGGGAACTTGATAGTTTGTATGATTTCCTTAACCTGAAATGAGGCTGCAATTGAGATAGCTACTGCTTATTTAATAGATAAAGAATAAGGATTTCAGAGTTCTTTTTCACCTGTTGATGGCTCAACCATTTTTTTTTTCCAGTGACTTTCCTACTCTTACAGCTATATTCCAGTCCCATCTGTGCTCAGGCTTTTCCTTTGTGATGGCTAGTGCTCCTTACAATTCTGCATTACAAATAAATGCTATTAATAATAATGATAGATGCTGCACCACATATGTTTTTGGAGATTCTCTGGGAATCTCTGTGTGGGAAAGGGTTTGAAGTAGGATTTGAAAGGAAAGGGAGGTTGGGTTTTTTCATTACGTAATACTCACTTTACAAATTAAACCAAGTACCCTTGTTCCAGTTTAAGACTCATTTTGGCAGACTGGGTCATTAATCAAGTTGTCAAACACAAACATATTAATACATAGATTTACTATGTGGTGTTGAATTAATTTTTATTCTCCTTTAAAAATAATCCTTAATAAGCCCACAATGTTGCTCTTTCTGGCTAAACTTTTAAGTGAGTACTTGAAGTACTTTAGAATTTTAGTAAATATAACATTTTCAGTAAAATTTACTTAAACCTTTACTTAATTTCTGTTTTACCAGCGTGCTTTAATGTTATTGTGTTGCTTAAATTACTTCAGATCCCTTAAATGTGAGAACTTCCATTCCAATTGCACGTTTGGTTTTCCTTCCATCTTTTTTTTACTCCAAATACAGCAGGATCACATGCAGAATTATGATCTGTTGACTCTGCTTTTCCACTTTAAAAATCATCATCACATCCCATCACATCTCAGATGTATTAAAACAATATGAAGTTTATTATGGAAATAAATTAATTAATTGCAGTAGGCCTACCATCATGAAATAGGAATGTAAATGTATATCTCCCAGTTTACTCAGGGAAAAACTTGGAAGCATCTGATGGGTTGACATGATAAATGGGTGAACAAATGAGAACTGAAGGAAAGTTTTATGCTTTGTAAAGCTGGTGCCCTACATGAAGCTTAGTAACGACATCACTTTTCCTGTGATTGATCTCTAGGCAGCAGTTGTGGTGGTATTCAACTTTGCTATGGTCCTGCTGATTTTTCCTGCTATCCTGAGCATGGACCTTTATCGTCGGGAAGACAGGAGACTGGATATATTCTGCTGTTTTACAAGGTGAGAATCTGTGATAGATTGATACATGACATGTGTCCTTTTTGTGGTCAGCAGTAAGTGCTGCCATTCCTTGTGAGAAGCCGGAGTTCTTTATTGCATCAGGGTTAGTATGTTACTGTTATGATCTAATTGTTAGTGACAGACTTCCATTTGCTACTTTGTTTTTACCCGATTGAGAGGAAGAGCTACAATGCCTCTCTTCCTTCGGTTACGCCGCCCCTTTCATGCATACACTTCTCCTCTCATTCAGGCATGTGTTTATTTTGTTTGTTGGAGGACAGCTTTTTGAAAGCAGATAAAAAGATCCACATTTTGGGAATATGTCCAGTGCAGTTTTGGGTAATATTGGAAGACTATAACTCAGGGTACAGAAAAGCCTTACTTACAGTTAATCACTGTGTGTGCTAATTTTTATGCTTTTTAGGGCTTTAAACTTAAATATATAAACATAATATGTAAACTGTAAAATGGCTTCTGCTTAGCAAAGTGTTTCATATGATTATGAGGAACAATCAGTACTGTTACAGGATAGTTCTTGATACAAGTTTCTGTTATGGCTGCAATAGTAGTTTATAATGGTAACACTGCCATTCTGAAGAGTCTGTTTATAGACTCACTTGATACATGTCCAGCTCTGAGCATAGAGGTAGAATGAGTCTGCCATCATCAGTGGAGCTACTGCTTAGAAATGAAGCATGTTTTCTACCTTAGTTTTTGCTTTTTTTTCTGCAATGAAGAACATCAGCTACATTTCTACACAAGTATCTGAAGGGGGCTACAGGGTTGCTGGGGAGGGACTCTTCATTAGGGACTGTAGTGATAGGACAAGGGTTAACGGGTTAAAACTTAAACAGGGGAAGTTTAGATTGGATATAAGGAGGAAATTCTTTCCTGTGAGGGTGGTGAGGCACTGGAATGGGTTGCCCAGGGAGGTTGTGAATGCTCCATCCCTGGCAGTGTTCAAGGCCATGTTGGACGAAGCCTTGGGTGAGATGGTTTAGTGTGAGGTGTCCCTGCCCATGGCAGGGTGGTTGGAACTAGATGATCTTAAGGTCCTTTCCAACCCTAGCTATTCTATGATTCTATGTTCTCTTACTGTCATAACCAGAATGTGGACAATCCACCTCATGTTATTTTAGTGTTTTACACCCACCTAGGAGCTAACCTAGTTTGACATTTTAATTTTAATGTCAAAGAGAGAAAGCAATTTCCTAAATCTGTTTTTGAGGGAGTGGTTAGAACAGGGCGTTGATCCCAAGCCAAGATTCCTACTTTCTGTTTCTCATTCAATCATCGTTTCAGTGGATGGCCTAATGTGCTTGAATTTTGGAGCCCAGATTCTCAGAAGTACAGAGCAATCAGACGTTTCATTTATTCTCTCATCTAAAGTTGCACCAAATGTGTGTCAGAATTCAGGCCTGTTTACGTGTGAAGAATATCAGTTAATGAGAGCTTGCTTTGTTTAGCTGGGCAACATTCTGAATTCCTGTCTCCCAAAAGTCTGACATGTTATCTAGAAGGCCCAAATATTATTTAACAACTACTTTAATAGTTCTAAACAGAAGAACTCACTGTATCATGTGTTTACATTTTGATCTAAATAGCTTAATTTTCAGCATGGGCACACAGATGCAAACTCATACACGTATTGTGCATTCACGCTGCATGCAACTACCTGAATATTGACCTGAGTAGCCTGTGTAAATAATGGAGCAGTGTGGGTAGATGTCAGTGTCTTCACACAGATGCTGGTTCCTTCTTCCCTGAACACAAAAAGTATGAACATATTCTCAGAGGCCTACAGTTTGAACCGTGTCTGAGAAATGTTTCCTAAAGGTGCAAAATAAAATTGATGTCAAAGTGTTACATTTCATTAATGCAAACCCTCTTATAGTAGTAGAAGCAGGCTCAGATGGAAGCAGGTTGTCCTGTCGAGTCTGATTAAGTTTGATCTAAATATGAACTATGTTTTTCTCTTCTCTTACAGTCCGTGTGTTACTAGAGTGATTCAGATTGAGCCTCAAGCATATGTGGAAAATGACAATACCTGCTACAGCCCTCCACCCCCATACAGCAGTCACAGTTTTGCACATGAAACTCAAATTACGATGCAGTCCACAGTGCAGTTGCGCACAGAATACGATCCTCATACGCAGGTGTACTACACCACAGCAGAGCCTCGTTCAGAAATATCTGTGCAGCCAGTAACAGTGACACAAGATAATTTCAGCTGCCAGAGCCCAGAAAGCACAAGCTCGACGAGGGATTTGCTTTCCCAATTCTCAGACTCCAGCATACATTGCCTTGAGCCACCCTGTACGAAGTGGACACTCGCATCTTTTGCAGAAAAGCATTATGCTCCATTCCTCCTAAAACCAAAAGCTAAGGTAATCTGGGAACTACTTACCTGTTTTTCAAAAATAGACTCTGCCTTGCCCAGTAATAAAACTATCCTGGCAATGATCCTAAATACAAGGAATAAACAGAATTCTTTTGGAATAAGAGTTATTATGAATTTTAAAGCTAATTTCATACTTCTTTAAATGTTTTATCTTGTGAGTGCTGTAGAGAGATATTTTTCAGATATGTTACCAGTAAGGGTTTTGGTGACTTTCAGTAATGTAAGTTTGTAAAACTAAAGCCACTTTTTAACTTTATTATGTATAAATTTCTCATCTATGGTGCAGAGCCCCTTCAATAAAGCACAAACTAGTTAGGCCTGTAGTATGTATGTGTATGAAAAAAAGAAAAAAAAAGGAGAAATAAAAATTTTTAAAGTAGACTTGATTGGTGTTAATTTTGAACCTGGATTTCTAGTATGCTGTTATGAATTGTTAATTTCTTTAGAAACCTAAAACCAAATGCATGTCCATTTTCTTTTGCAGATTGTGGTTATTTTTCTTTTTCTGGGTTTGCTTGGGCTCAGCCTTTATGGAACTACCCGAGTGAGAGATGGACTAGATCTCACAGACATTGTACCACGGGAAACACGGGAATATGACTTTATTGCCGCACAATTCAAGTACTTTTCATTCTACAACATGTATATTGTGACACAAAAAGCAGACTATCCAAATGTCCAGCACTTACTGTATGAACTTCACAGAAGTTTCAGCAATGTGACATATGTTTTATTGGAAGAAGATAGGCAGCTCCCCAAAATGTGGTTGCACTACTTTCGAGACTGGCTGCAAGGTAAGAGAAAGTTTCATGAACTTTTCTTAATTCTATAGTAGTAACTACTTGTTCGCACTAGTTTGTAGTGCTCCTGTCTTTGAATTTAATTCACATGGTTAAAGACTGTGAGCTAGGTGCCGATGCAAACTTACCCATTAACTCCCTGGAACAGGTCACTTAAATTCTTTGTGGCTAAGTTTACTGAGGTCAGTTTTTAAGCTTTAAGAGATTATATCCATAAGAGCCCATCTCATGCCATTAATTTCTAAGCAGCTGATGAGTTCTGCTTTATAATTTATGACTAAATATGGCCCACTGTCTTGGGAAAATAAATATTGGCTGTTTTGAGAATAATAAATGAGAAGTCCCTGTCCAGCAATACATTTTGGCACAGGCTTAACTTTCAGCACATGAGTGATCTGTTGGCTGCAGCTGGAACTGCTGGCATGAAGAAAATTCAGTGTAGCTTATATGTTTTATTGGATTTGGATATCACTATACATTCTAGATTTCCAGTCAAATATCCTCACTGTTTCTGTGATGCTGCTTTTTCTGTACTGAAGTGTAGCAGGGCATGGGGAAGACAAGAGAAGACATGGCCTTTCAGGTACTATGATGATAATTATATTCAAGTCAGCCTATTAAAGACACTATAATTGCACATGTTGAGACAAATAACTGTTTTGTATTTAAAATAAATAATACTGTTACATCTCAGCAAATTTAACAGCACACATATCCTGCCCAGGAGTACTTTTGTCCTACCTCTGTCTTTTAGTTGGGAGAATCTCCAGGAAGCTTTTGCCAGTAGAAAAATAAACTGTGCTGACCTAGTGAGACTGTAAATTTTAAACTTAACTGTTTAGAAACAATCGGTGCAGCCAGTGATTCATAGAGAACATGTAGGTAACTGCCAGAGTTTGGAGTAGTTTATTCCTTCTCAAAATATATTGGGCAATATTAGGAAAGCAGATGCATCTTAGTGATGCATTTAAATAAAATGATCAACTTTCCCATGTGTTTAATGTACTGATACATCATGCAAAGCTATGAGACCAATCAGCTGTTAGCTTTGGTCTTTGTTTTCTTAATAGTTTTTAAGTATATTGGATCCATTCATTACAGTCTACTTACTGGAAGTTTTATTTAAAATATTTTGCTCACATAAGCATATTGAGCTGTAAGGGAAGGTATTACTGGCAGGAAGAAAATTCAGCATACCTTCGATGTTTTGTTGGACTGGAACTTTACTATACTTTCTAGATTTCTAATCAAGCATATTTCTATGTGTGTTTCCAAATTCTCTTCTACTTCTGTTGTTTATTTCTTTTGTGGGTATTTTTTATTGTTGTTCCAAAACAGTAAGCAAAAACATGTTTGGTGTCCCCCCTTCCACCTCTCACCCACCTCCAAACCTGTGAGGGAGTCGGAAAGTCAAGATCATGTTCAGGATCTTCACATATTAATGCTGAACCTCAGCACAGTCTGCCAACAGTAGAGTCGGGAAGAGGTGCCCTTGGGTCTGCTCCCTTGCTGGCTTCCTAAAGTGAAATGCTGGAGGCTAGCCCACTTGTTGTTGCTCCCAGGGGTGCTCGCGTTCCCACTGCCACTCTCTGAGGTCCACCACATACTTTTCCAAACCTCTTCCACTCTGGATGTCTCCCCATCCTCTTTGTAATCACTTCCTTGTGCTAAGGACCCTGTATGTTGTCCTAGCCCAATGACAAAGGCCTGCACATCTTCTCTATGCTGTGTGTGCACATTTCCCTATTTCCTCTTCTGTTAGGGGTGTTCCTATTCTCTTCTTATTGCCCACGCTTACCTTCCAACCCATATTAGCGTACCTGTCCTTCTCCCTTGTCTTCCAGTAGAGGAGCTATGAGTATTCCTGGTAACTTGGATATACTGACAGGGTGCATGGAGCTAAAATGTTATACTGGAATGGCCAGGGAGACTCCAGAAGCAGTGACTTGAAGTGGTTCAAGTGGAGATGCCAGCCCTGTGAGAGAAGGTGCATTGCTTGGCCTGTTGATTGCCCACAGCTTTAGAATTAATCATTATGATTGCTAATTTTTATTTAGGTCCATGTCCTTACCTCTCCTCCCTCCCTACCTTCCTCAAGAGAGGCACAACAATTAATACAAACAGCCCAAAACAGGACTGTCTTCTCAAAGTGTGGTGCTGCATTCACAAAACTGTGAAGAAGAAGGATATTGAAATGTATTAATAGAAAGAAGTTACATTTTAAATATTAAATGGAGTGGACTAAACCATTATGCTAAAAGCTGCCACAGTTGTCATAGTTAGGAAATTATCTCAAGGAGCAGATAGCAATAGACAAAATAATACCTGATCTCTACCAGCTGAGGCTGATGGTGGGGGAGGAAAGGTGAAAACAGAATTTGCAAACAAGGTATAGTTTTAGGCTGGATTCAAAGAGGAGCATCGCCTGTGAGGTGGGAACAGCTCTACTGGTGCATTTTTACATGCTGGAGGAGCAGAATAATCAAAGTAGAGACAACTTTGAGCTTAATGGCTAATTCCTGATGACTTGACTAGAGTGCTAGAGATTAATGGCTCAAGATGGCCTTATGACATGCACACATTTGTCTGGCAGAATGAGGGAAGAGACAGCATGTCAACAAAAGCCTTTTTTTTTTTTATGAAGAAGGTGCCTCTGGTCTTAGTCATACATTTCTTATCATTTACTATTAGTGGTGTGCCTTCCACCTAATGCACTTCCTTTTTTTCAGGTTTCCTTGTATGCTGCTTTCTAATGTCGTATCATGTTAGCATATTTTCTGTTACTGAAAACGCAACAGAAGAAGAATTAACACTAATCATTCATTTAAACTGGAAATGTTAACATTGTTTTTGTAAGTGATTGAATATAATCAGGTAGCTGGAATTCCCTGATGACTTGTAATTAGGCTTGTTTTTGCAAAGGGTAATCTTATCTGGTATTTCATGGTGCCAGCTGTTCGTGTGAGTCAGTTGGAATTCCTTCCTCACCCCCATTCCTGCATCCCACGTAATTTTGGAGGATTTTGCTTTCTTCTGAAGCATTAAGCAAAGTGACCACTGATACGAAAATATCCCATATAAATGTTTTTAAAATTCCCTAAATTTTTATAACTTCTGTGCAACAGAGGTCAACAAGTTACTTTTGTATTTCTGCAATTTAATTAGTCTCATTTATACATTTAATTAATCCCATTTATAAAAGACTAAATGTATTTTAAAATCATTTATATAAACAGTTTATAATGTAAGTACTATTTAGGTTGAAAGCGCAACTCTGCTGTTAATTTCAAAGTGTTATGGGAAATACCAATGACTGAAATTCTGAAATTCTTTAGAAATTACACAGAACTGATTGTGGTTTCTTGGTATTCTTTCCACAGGCTTTCAGTGTCAGCAAGGTCAGTAATTAAATAAAACAGAGCATAAAGTGGTTAAGCCACTGAGGAATTAAGATGTAACAGGGAGCAGGGTTTGAGTGATGACCAAACTTGCAAGGGCAGGGGAGGGAGGAAGATGCGAGAGAGCTGAGTTTTCACCTGCTGCAGTAATCTTAAATGTACATGCCCCTTTTTGACCTACCCTGCAACCACAGATTTGTAACGTCACATGCCAATGGATATATTTGTTACTGTGTGTCTGTGGAGCACTCTGGGGTTGGATGTTAGTCTGAAAGTTCTGCTCCCCCGTACTGTCTGTCATACCAATTTGTGTGCTCTTCCTGCTGAAAGGAGCCATTTTTACTGTAAATCAAGCTGTTCTTCGGTGGTCTCCTTCTTTCCCACGTGCTTTTTGACAGCCTTCTCTTAACCTCTCAGACCTCTTTCACATGACTGGTATGATAGCACAAATGCTCTCATCTGGCCACTTCCTGAGAGACTGACACGGAGCTGAAGTTGGCACAGGAAGGATGCACTGGTATTTTTGCATGTTCTAAGCAATGTTTACCCTGTCCGAGGGCACCAGCAAACAGTGATTTTTTTTAAAGGGAGCCTCGAAGTCATTTGGTGATGCCAGAAAACCTGACAGCAAATCCTCCTGCTCCTGGGCAGGTGCTGGAGGGCCACGTGCAGAGGTGGAGCAGGCTCCTTTCACTGCTTGGTTCTCAGCCTGTTGGCTTTACATGTGGGTACGATTTGGCCAGACAGCATGGGAGGCAGTTTTCTAAGGGAGAGGGGATCAATTTGTACATGGGAGTGGGAACCGTGGCCTGGAGGCAGTGTCGGCTGAGTGCATTTTCTCTTTCAGCGCTGTTATCTCTGTGCAGCTGTGGCTAACCTGTGCGATCTGTAATGACAGTTTTCATTACAGCTCCGCAGTCCAGCTGTGAGGTGGGTCGGAGATTTCCTCCACCGACATTCCCCGGCCTTTTTCTTCCCTTCCCTGGACATGCGGTTTGTCATCTGCTTGCACAGAACCTCCTTGTACTGGACTGTGGCTTCCTGTACTAAATCTGATCCAAATTTGTGCTGTGAGGTATTCCCTCCCCCTTGAAGGGTGGCAAGGAGGAATATAACAGTTGAGAGTGAATAGGTGTTGGCTGTGATCTTTACATGTGCTGGCAGCAGATCCCACGACTTGTATTAGCTGCACAAGTTGAACAGATGGAACAAATTGACAAAATCGTGTTCACTCACGCTGTGCTTGAGGAGCAACTGAGTTGCTGTTTGAAGTTGAAAGTTGGAGTGTGGTTTTTTTTTCCCCTTGTAGTGGAATTTCTGGTTATATTGTAGAAGCTATTGCCTCAGTGCTCTGCAGTAGCCCAAGCCAGTTAATGAGAGCGGTGTGTGTCCTCCTCTGTGATTCAGTGCACTCAGCCAGGGGTTTAGTGAGGCAGAGGGGAGTATGGAGTGTTTCCCCTTTAGATAACAGACTAAATGCTTCCCATGGTTTAAAGTCCATGGTAGGTGGTGAAATTGGATCAGGGCTGAATTCAGCCCCTCTCTGTTCTGGCAGGTTAGGGCAAGACTTCAGTTGTGTTTTGAGGAGGGTATATATGAAAGAGGACATAAATGCAAACGCGCTTACAGAGTTTTGAGTGTGATGGTTCTGGAATTGTTCACGGGGGGAACTGCTTTTTATTCTAGACAAGCTTAGGTCTTCTGCATATAATTCTCCAACCAGAACACTAAGTTGCTGTCAGAGGCTCTGAGAAGGACACAGGACCAGATCCCATCCAAGATCTCCTCTTTGCCTTAACTGGAAGTTGTTTTACATCAGTGGACATGGCACCTGCAGCTTGCTAGCTCAGCCTTGCTGACCTATACAGCATAGGAAGACTTGAGGCTTGTCCCTTGCACTTTCCTGCTTCCCCTGCCTTTCTTTGCACAAAATAGTGGACACATAACTCATACTTTATCTTCCCACGCACTGTGAGTGAATGTGGAGCACCAAATTTAGGAGGCAGCAGTCGATAATTTACTTCCTGATTCAGCTATGAAAAAGAGTCACCCTACTGAAATTTATTTCTAAGAGTGGTTGCTTACCTGCTTGTTCTGTCTTCTGCTTGCCTCCCTTAACTCTTCAGGACTTCAGGATGCATTTGACAGCGATTGGGAAAGTGGGAAGATCACTTACAACAATTACAAAAATGGATCTGATGATGCTGTTTTGGCTTACAAACTCCTGGTACAAACAGGCAACAGAGCAAAGCCCATTGACATCAGCCAGGTATTGTATCAGACTCCATAATGGTTTGTACAGGAATACACAAGTCAGCAGGAGTGGGTAAATATGCAAAGTGCATGTTGTAGTTGCTTTATTCATTTTGGTGAGTTAAATGCGTGAGTTACACCTTACTGCATGGCCTCACTGACTCTGCTGAAGCCACTTGTTAGCTGCAATCTGGTATGTGTTGTGAAGTGTTCAGAATCAGTGCTGGGAATGCCTGCCATTGATTATTAGTGATCAGTGTGTGTTTGGAGCTGCTCCTGTGTCAGACACACTCAGTTTCCACTGAAATTGTGACAAATATTTTGCTGCATCCGTAGGTAGACTTGAGTCTGGTCCTGTGCCAGACACAGCCAACATAAGCCTTGTTGCTCTAAGTGGCATCGTTCCTGATCTGAATCAGATTGCTTTATAGGGTTGACCTCTGCTCAGCTTTGTGCTGGGATTTTGAATCCAGCATTTGCAACTATTTGGTTAGTTTCTACTGATTTACGCAAAACATAACATTTAAAAAAAGATGACAGTGGATGGGGACTGAAATTTTTACACGCTGTACTTACACAATCATCACTAGATACAGCTATACTGCTGTAGAACTTAGAATGGCAGTTGTTTCAGCTGCCTAAGTAAAGTATGTTTGAGGTTATCACAGCTTATGACTGAATTTGCTATAGCTGTTGGTAAGTGGGATTATATTAGGTTTGACTTCTTACAGTAAAACTATGTTTCAAACCTCTAAGATGAAATCCTGCAGTAACCTAGCTTCTCCTCTTCTAGAGTCCTTACTGACTGTGCCTTCAGGCAGAAAAATAGTCTTTCTAATGAGCTTTTTGGCAGATCTGCTTATTGTCTTTCTTTTTTCCCTGGCATTAAAGGTGACAGATTTACAGAGTACATTGTTCAAAGTTGCTATGGTGTGTAAAACACACTGTTGTATAGCAACATGCAATATGCTGTCAGGTCTGAATGAAGCTTCAGCTATGAATTAAGCAAGGAAAGGGAGCTGAAGAGAAAACCTTCATTGAGATTTTGTTTAGCAGAGTGTACCAGGTACGCTGTGGAACAAATGTGATTGGACTGCAGCTGCTGATATAATTTCCTGTGCCTGGGAGGGAGAAAAGTGTGGTGCACCCACAGGGGCTGAGCGCTGTGCTGTGCAGTTCCAGAGACAGCTTGAAGACATACAGTTGTTGCATATCCTGTGGACTAATTGAATCCAGATCCTTGGAATCCAGCTTTTTTTTTTTCTTTTTTTTTCAGCTGCTGTCACTGTTGTTTTTCATTTCATTAAAAAGACCTGAAACTGGAGCCAAGCCAGTATTTTAAATAAACAAAACAGAAAACCCCAGTAATACTTTTCACCCACAGAGCCCTTTGTCAGAGCTCTAGCTGTGCAGGATTTGGCTGCAGAACCCTAGAAGCGTACCACTGCTGTTTACCCCACAGATGCATTTGCCCACAGTGACCCAAATAACACAGGGCACTAGTCTGCTTTCTTGATGCTGGGCATTTTCTGAATACATAGGTCATAGGAGGCAAGTGTTAGAAAAATTTATACAGATGTTGTTTTATTTTTATAGCTCTCCTCCATTTACTGGGTGGCATTTCCTTCAGTGTTAACAACAGAGGTTAACTGCACACAGACGTGTATAGGGACTCTTGCCAGGTTTTCTTTCCCTGTCTTTTAAATGTGTTTCTCAAAGTTGGTTGTTTTTCACTCTTGGCTGCAGGCTTTCAGAATTTGGATTCAATTGGCTATCCTGGAGCTATCTGCTGATTTAGTGGTTATTGTAAATATTATATGAGTACTAATTTATAAATAACCACTTTCTACTGTCACTGTTGTACTTTTGTTTTTCTTTTTCCATTGTCAAACAATAGTTTACAGATAAGTCACTTCGAGTGAATCTCCATACTCTTTTGCTCTTCCCCTCTGATATGTGTGTTGCATCTCCAGGCCATTTGTTGAAAGCTTTATGGCAAGAGCCCTGAAAGCAAAACTCATTCTGAAAGGCTTCTAATATTTTCCATTTTGCAGTTGACTAAACAGCGTCTGGTGGATGCAGATGGAATCATTAACCCAAATGCTTTCTACATCTACCTGACAGCCTGGGTTAGCAATGACCCTGTGGCTTATGCTGCCTCGCAAGCCAACATCCGGCCTCACCGCCCAGAGTGGGTCCATGACAAAGCAGACTATATGCCAGAAACAAGACTGAGAAGTAAGTAGCATTTCATCTTAATGTCTTACTGTTCATTATATAAACTGCAAGGAGTGCCCCCACTCCTTCCTTCAAGAGCCAGTATCTCTGTAGTGGTCTGATGCTGCACCAGGGCTCAGAAGAAATATATTGTGTTACTTCGTAGCCTTAGGAGACCTATGCACCATTGCAGATACAGCACCATTGCAGGGTTTTGTCATGTTGAAAAATAAGGTTTATAACAGTTTAAAGCTCTAAAAATTTATAGCAAGCATTTCTTTTTAGTGTCACCTGAGAGTTCTGTCTGTGAAAGAAACTTGGAGATTGCAAGAAATTCCTGTCTTGTGTCATTCTGAAATTTTGTCACTGAGATTACATCATGTTTACCCTCAATTATTAATGCCTAAGGGATTTTTGCCAAGTTAGCTCATATGCAGAGTTACCAACACTGATGTGGTACCAGAGCTACTTAGGTAGGGGACTAGTCCCATTCTGTGCCAGTTTTCATTGCTATGCTTCACCTATCAATTTACTGGGAGGATTGCTAGTTGGACACCAATGGCGAAGGGGAGAGGACTGGTACATATAGGGGAGGACTGGTACACTTGGAAATGTGATTGGGTAGCTGTGATTCACAAACCCTAGAGCTTTGTGGCAGACCGCCAAGTCTTGTCTTAATGAAAATTTATAGTTGAGATTATGATAGGGCAAATAATGTTTAGCAAGTCAGCTGAATGACCCTGCAGGGTCTGGAACACACAACGGCAGTAACAAAATGCTTGTTGTGGAAGATTTTTCTTCTCCTTGTCATACAATAGACTTAACACTATGCTCAAATAGAAGTATGGAGAGTGTTTGTTGGTCAAATTATTAAAGGATAAAAAGTTACATGTTTCTTCAGTAAACCATTGCTTTAATATTAGCTTTTTTCCCCAGTCATTTGCATTAGTAACAGCACATGGATTTCTTAATCTGACTTTCAAAATATTCACTGGAAATCTTAAAAACCAACCAGCCTGTGCGAGCATAGTTTTTCTCTAGTTTTGTGTCAGTGAACCTCAGTTTATCCCAGGGAAATTACCTTCAGTTGAATTACATAAAGGAAGAGTTCTTGGATAAAAGTGTTTAAGATTATGTGATCATCTTATTTATATTGCAGCTAGGGATTTTCGGCCAGGTATTCAGTAAAAACCACTATAGCACTGATGAGAATTAAATACATGTATTGAAATATATCTGTTAAATTATACAGAATTGTTTGGGGACTTGGTGTAGACTGTGTTCATCCAATTGCACTGCATGATAAAATCTAGTAATCTTGTGTACTGCTTCAGTGTTTATCGATGATTTTTTTAAATGTCACTTGTTCCAAAGAAGTAAAGTTTAAATTCAACACCTTTAAGCTTTTTGCTGCAGAGAACAAAGTGTTTTGTTAATCCTGTTCTCTGGGTACCTTCTTCCCAAGCACACATTTTAACACTGCTATCCTTCTCTAGTTCCAGCAGCTGAGCCCATAGAGTATGCTCAGTTTCCTTTCTACCTCAACGGATTGCGTGAAACTTCTGACTTTGTGGAGGCTATTGAGAAAGTGAGAGCTATCTGTAATAACTACACCAGTCTGGGGATCGCCAGCTACCCAAATGGTTACCCGTTTCTGTTTTGGGAGCAGTACATTGGGCTTCGTCACTGGCTGCTCTTATCAATTAGTGTGGTTTTGGCTTGCACATTTCTGGTGTGTGCCCTCTTCCTCCTAAACCCCTGGACAGCTGGGATCATTGTAAGTTTATTATAAGGGTCTTTGTTGAAGTCAAATTCCTTTCAGCATAGCTCTTGCTGTAGTCGGGAAGGTTTTGTTTATGTCTGGGCCTCTGGTGGAGTATGTATATTGCATCATTCATTATATATTTATTCAACTTAAGGGGGTAGGGTTCATGCTAAAGGTATAAACCTTAATAACCTTAATCCTTTGGCCACCTTTTTTTCCAGCTTTAAAGGTTTCTTGGAAAAGTACATAAACTTTTGCCTTTGCTCAGATACATGCAAAGTAAAGACGGAGAGGGAAATTTATTAAATATTTAAAGTTATTCTTAATTATTTATTCCCTCTCCCTTTTTATCAGACATAGTTATTTTTCAAGGCAGTTGCTTGAGACTATCTTGCCTGTAAATTTTCCCAGTTATTTCTGAATGCAGTCTTTCTGGAAAATCTGAAATGGTTAGGTTGTACAGTGTGCACTGTGGAAAGAGTGTGACTGAGCTATCGAGGAGAAAGAGCCATAAAATTATAAACTGTAGAGAATACTCCTCCATGCTTTCTGCTAGGCACCATAAGCCTCTCAGTAAACATTTAAGTTAAGTTGAATGATGATGTTCCTATGTTTAAATTCCATAAACTATCGTATGGTTTATAAAATGCCAGAAGTAGAAAAGCGTAAAACAGTTACTAGTTTTTGTAATGTATGTTTATATGACAGGTATGTTAAAAGGTAAATGTTTAGTCTAGAATATTTTTCATAGCAGTTAATCAAGCAATTTATGTTATTACTCTTGATTCATTAGCTTATAAAATCATTTATTGTAGTGCATACTTTTTCCCTTGGAAAAGGCGTTTATTTTCAAAGTCCACCATTGCTTTTATGTCTATCTTTTTTTCCCTGCTTGGCTTTAACAACTTTTAACGTTGATTCTACAGATTTCCTCCCCTCCCTTTTCCCTTTTCCTCATTTTTTTTACAAGGTAGGTGAAAGAAAAATAAAAGCTTTCCCTTAGATTTAACTGTTCACTTTGTCTGTGTCAATCCCTCGAAGTATCTTAAAAGCTCAGAGCTCCTCTGTAACGTGAGACTCATCAGCTGATTATGGCGTTCACTTTCTTCTGGGCTTTAAACCTACTTAGAAGTCATCCTCACTTATGTTTGCAGTTGTGCAAAAGAAATTCCAATACAGATAGTTGAGAGGTACTTTTTCTGGAAGAATTGTCCAAGAAACAAGGTGAAAAACAGAAAAATGTATGTTTCTGTGATAAGGAAAAATAAATTGTTTTTCAAATCACAGCTAAATTGTAATCAATACAAAATTGATACTTGGTCTGATAACTGCTTCTTAGGAGTATAATTTAGACTAGTAATTCTGCAAGTCATTGCCATTGAGCACAATGATACAAGGAAAAGCAGATGGTCTTTGGGAATATAGCATGGCTTTGAAGAGTATGTTTTGAAGTCACCATATTGTTCTGAAATATCTTTCTCTTAATTTGTCTGCAGTATAAGAAGTTACTAACAGCTGTTTGAAATCATCTAGGTGGTGGTGCTGGCTCTTATGACTGTGGAGCTGTTTGGCATGATGGGTCTAATTGGAATAAAGCTGAGTGCAGTTCCTGTGGTTATCCTGATTGCTTCTGTTGGCATTGGTGTGGAATTCACTGTTCACGTTGCATTGGTATGTAAGATCAGGAAGCATTTGCAAAATATTTAAAAAAAAAATGCTGGCAATGTTAGGATCACAAATCCTTACTTAGTCTCCTAAATCTGCAGGAAAATGGTCACAAGGTGTTTTGTGTGCCATTCACTTTGTCTTGACAGAGGTAGTTGCTGAGTCAGTATCAGTCAGTATCAGTGATACCTGATGCAAATATGTAGACAAAGCAAAGGTCTTAATGCACCTTACTGCAGACTCTCCTGGTCCTTGTATGCAGCCTCCCTGTGCAGTGCTATGTGACTGTTTCTTCCCTCTTTCATGTAGATTCTGTATCTTGTGGAAGAGAAGATTTTCAAAGTCACATATAGTGTCATTTGATCTCACTGGACCACTAAAATTTGAATGTATTTGGATTCATTTTCCCCTTGAAAAATCTGCACTTTCTTCTTAGAACTATCAACTATTAATAGGGCACAAACATGCAGTCTGTAGGAAAATAGTTTCCCAATGTGATGAGGAGGAGCAGAGAGGAGAAAAAAGTATGTTTTATATGCAGACTTTCAACATTTTCAAGGTTAAGAGTCCAAATAGAGTGTGCACTTACTCACCCAGCTTACTCAACCTAATGTGCAAAAATGTGTAAAGATTACAGTGCATGCAGGGGGGCAGATTTGGGTGTTCAAGATACGCAAACTCATCTTGCTTTATTTGGTGACATGAATAAAGGGCTAATTTTGTGTGCTCACATTTGACAATGCCAGGGCTGATCTTTCCAACATTTTGCACACTTAGCATAAGTAATTTTCCTATAAAGCTATTCTAACTGGTGTTTCAGAATAGTTTTAAGAATATCATTGTCTTCATGGACTTGAATTTTACTGTGTTTAAAAGTAGTAAAGAATGAGTGGTCTGTATAATTTCAGGGATGAGGTGCTTGTAGTCTGCTATAGTCTGTAGTATGTTAGTACCATAACAATCCAACAAGAAGTGAAGGGAGGGGGCTGGAAAGCGGTGGTGACATTGGATGGGAATGCAGCAGGCCTTTTAGACTCAAAAGGAGGACTTGTAGACTGCTAAGAGGATCTGGTGGCAAAGGGAGGAGAACTAACAGGGATCTTAGCACACTGGAGATGGCCAGATCCTGGGAACTTGTAGATGATGTACAAAGTTGGGGCATATAAAGTGACAGGATGTAAAGAATAATTTCAATAAAAACTGTAGGGGAAGTAGAGTAAGGTTAAAGAGGAGCAACTGGATCACTGCAGTGGTGACATCTTTTTTTTCCCCTCCTGCTATGGGTAGTTAGGCTTTTGGAGGTAAACTTGTTTGCTAGGACCTGAAATAGTTTGGGAAGTGTCAGAAACTAGTAATGTACAAAAGGAAGAAATAAATGACAGTTTCTTAGAACTAAAGATTTAAAACAGGAAAACTGGAATAAAAAAAAGGACAAAACAGTTGTTTCTGAATGGAAAGAAACTAAGCTAATTTACAGGACTTTATGTGTATATATATATATTTAAAAAGTCATCTATGGCTGAAGATAAAATGCCAAGCAAACTGAAAATTCCATTTTCTGAAAATTGCCATTTTTTCACATTGACTCTGGAGTCAAAAATTTTCAAACACAGCCTTTAAATAAAAGAATGTCTGGTAGACCTGAGATGATAGCAGCAGTACTGACCTTCACTGCACTTCCTGCATATAAGCAAACTAGTGTTGCATAAACAAAAAATGCAATGCTGGAACTGTTGATAAAAAGCTTCCTTGAACTTGTTTAAGAGTCATTTATGATCCACTTGTGGCTCAGTTCTCCATCATTGCTTGTGAACTGTAACCTCATCTTTTTAATTCTGGAAATAAATTCTGACTCCATAGTAGACTCTTGTATTATGCATTCTCTAATTACATACATATACATATGTTTATATAAATAGTATGTTTGTGCATCAGATCCCATAGTTCACATTCATGTGAGTCGTCTTATTGACAGCTGCCTTTACCCTGAATGGAATTTTTTATCTATTTATGTATATGGGAATGTACAATATCCTGGTGATTTTTCACAGACCACTTTTAGTCCAATACATGGTTTGGCTACCTACAGAAGTGAGGATTGGAAATCTCACTCCACCTGTACCCATTTTTCGGTTTGCTTGTCTCACCAGGTAAATTTTAATGTGTTGGCTGATTTCCCCCCATATTTGTCAGGGAAGTGAAAATAAGCTGCTAGGGAAAAGAGACTTAAATTCTTAGACCAAGAGGAAGATAGCTGCTGGAGCCTGTGTCTTAACAGGCAGTAGAGAATTGCCAAAGAGAAACCCCTTAAAAATCACAGGAAAAAGGTAAACCAGGTTCTTGTCTTCTTAAACCACTAAGTCATACACAGAGAAGACAAATTCCTATGGAACAACAGCCTTTGACTGTTCTAGATAACAGCTTGTTCCCTGAGGAGTTGAAGAGAGGACTTTTCACTTAGTCATATTGTTGCTCAGGTGCTACCATGTTCAGCACTGTTCGTAAGGCATTTTTATATGTGTAGTTCTGCTAGCTTTGAAGTAGTAGGAGTTGCAAAAACATTTATTTTCAGTGAAATAGAAGTGTTAAAGTCATGGAAGCCCTGGCCCCATGGGTGTGAAAGAAGTAGCCCTGTAATTACGACACCTGAAGTGCTTTCACCATGAAATGAATTCTTGCAGGTGGAAATAAGAAAAACCTGGTGACAAAAGCCTGCTGATGCAGGCAGGCATTGTTTCCAAAATTATTACTATGGTCTGACTCTGTAAACAGTATTTACTCTGGTTGTGTGATTTCAGCAGCAGCAGCTATATGGTATGACTGCGGAACCAGGCCTTCTCTTGAAGGTTAGCTGGCTATAGTTTAATAAACTCTGGTTTGAAGTAATTAACTGCTGAAAAAGTGTGCATGCTATGAGAAGAGCTATAGGAAGCTTGTGTGCATCTGTCTAATGAAGTGGATTTAATTGTTTTTCAGGCATTTTTAACTGCCATAGGAGACAGGAACCGCAGGGCTGTCCTTGCATTGGAACACATGTTCGCACCAGTGCTGGATGGGGCTGTGTCCACTCTGCTTGGAGTGTTAATGCTCGCAGGATCAGAGTTTGATTTTATTGTCAGGTAAAGCATTTGTGTGTGTCTTGACTTTCTTTTGAAATAAAAATAAGTATGCTTTTAATTTTTGGTCACTTCAGCGTATCTGTCATTTTATTACTATGCATGGTGTGTCAAGCATGCTTACATCATAGTCCTGCTTTCCCTCTGTTTTTATTAACTCCTTGTTACATGCTAGACGCGGTAGTGTTTCCATTGCTGGTATTAAAACCTGTTCCAGGAAAATCTGACACCCAGCGTGAAAGAGCACAGAAATGGCCCTCTTTAGCAACGTTTGCTAATTCTGGGTTTGAGTTAGTTCAGAGTGTCTAGTATTGTCCAGTATTAACCGGCTTTGACCTTTAGCCTTTAGGTCTTCCAGATTTCTTGTATGCACAACAGTTTGTGTGCAAAGGACATATGAACATACAAACATACTGCAACTGTGCTGCAAGTGACTCACTGTGGGCCTTCTTCTATCATTGTGTGAGGTTTACAGTGATGTAGAACGGGGGGGGGGGGGGGGGAAAGCCCTGTTTGGGAGCTGGGGAACCATAAGCATGAGCACAGAGCTTCATATTAAAATTTCGTGAAGCAAGGCCTGAAGGCCCTTCTGTTTAGAACTACAGGCAGACTGTTTCTTATGAATTTAATTAAGAATGTGAACTCGTCGAGTATGAGTGGAAAGCAAGTTTTTCATTCAGGGGAATTTGAGAATTGCAATGAAACAGATCCTATTCTGTTCCAAACAACCTGCGGAGCTCTGCAAATGGCTAATCTTAAAAGTAACACAGGTTCTTTGTGGCAAACTACTACATGAAAAAAAAATCCAGTCTCTAAAATGGAACTGAGGTAGAACTGGCAAAGTAAAAATGCTCTGAAAGGTGACTTAACTGCTTAGGTAGACATAAACTGGATAGATGACTAGATTTCACTGACATCCATTTGACAACAAGGACAACAAAATGTCAGAGGCAGGAACTGAGAGGATGGCTGCTAAATCTCATCAAGGTTTTTTGTTTATGTATAAAAGAGATTTGAAGAAAGCAAGCAGTTTGCAGTTAGACCTCATGAAACCTATGTGTTACTACTGTACAGATATTGCATGTCCTGAAATAGAATTTGTGTTTTTCCCCAAGTCAGTATTTTTAACTTTATTGGTACTGAAGAAACAAGGAGAATTATTCTTTTAGGACCTGATCTTGTGATGTTTGGAACACTTTGACATTTAGGTTACTTACAGGTTTAACCTAAATTTACAAGGGTACATTGTTGTGTTAATTTCCTACTTAACCTACCAGATTTTGGCAAGCACATTTTCTATCATAGCAAATGGAAGATTGTAGCAGCCCTTCACACCAAATTTGGATTTGGTGTTCTCTCAGTTTATAAAATGAGCCTTTCAATTTTTCAACTTAATGTCATTTTACTTTTTTTGGCCATCATTTTCTCATTTTCTAACACAATTTGACTTTAGTTCGCCTTGTTTAAAAAATAAACTATGGGAGCCTGATCATTGTTATAGTGGGCGAAGAAGATCCCAAACTTCCGGAAAGTGATAGATTAGTCCAACAACGTGGAAGATTAAGTAAATTAACAGACATTGTATACACCAAGTGGTCAGAGCTATAATCCTCCTGTTTATCCTAGAGCTAGATGGATGAGATGCAAATGTTTTTAATGCCTGTTGTTGATATCTGTCCCAGTATAAAGTTCTCTTGGTTTATGTTAGTAGAGTAGATTGGCTTGTTGATTTTTGCTAATGCAGATCAGAATGTTTACAATAGCAGGATATTTGTAGTTTTACAGGAGTCTGATACATTTGATCAGATGTAGAAATGGTGAGGCAGTGAAGTTTGTTGCCAGCTAGACAGTGTAATCAGCAGACCCATTAGTAGCAAACTTGCCCTCTGTCCCTCTCCTTTGCCTTCTCCTCCCGGAATTGACCAAGACTGAGTCCTCAAAATCATTAGTTACAACACAGCCTTAAGTTTAGTCTGAGCCCCAGCTGTGCCGAATACCAACTAGCAAGGCTTTCCTTTTACTGACAGGTTTACCTTGGTATTCATGAAGGATCCGAGACCTTAGCCCTCAGTGGTGGGAAAGGACAACCACTTGTGCACTTTCCTCTTCTTCCATAGTACTTCACCCTTTATGTTTGAATTGGCTGACGCAAAACAAGAGTATTCAGAGATGCTAAATTGTTCAACAAAAGATTAGCCTGCAATGCAGCTCTGCCATTGTGGAGTGCTCCTACTCAGTACAATGCTGAAGCTTACTATAGAATGGGCAGCATTTTCTTCGCAGAAAGTGGGTTCCTGTGTTGTAAAAAGGTTGCAATTTGATAAAACTGAAACTCACAGAATTCTAGGCGGAAAGTTGTGATTAATGAACAGCAAGGGAAACCCTTACCTGATACACTGGAGATTTAATTAGAGATTCTGCTGTAAGATGCAGAAGCATTTCACAGTGGATTAGCTGCTGGGAGAAGAGGGCTTCTTTTCCTTCTAGGCTAAATTGTTTGAATTCTACACCCTTCACTTCATTTGTTTGCTTCTGCTGGGTTTTCACTAATGGGGGCCCCTTTGCATTGTATTTGTGCTTTCAATCCATTCAGCTATTCCCTGCACATTCCATATTTTTGTGTTTGTGTAACACATTCATAAATAACATTACATGCTTCCAGATTCTGGGAAATTAACAAATGTAATTTTTTTCTTTCCTTTACCAACTAACACTTTGAGTTGTGGAATGTAGCTTCTCTAATTCAAAAGGTAAAAAAAATCTATCTCTCTATATAGAAAGTGATATAATTATTTCGTGCAATGTTAGTAACAATTAGATTTAATTTAGTATATGTATTGTTTTAACATATGTAGGAATAATTTTTAATCCCTTATTTCTAACAATATCTGTGGCTATTCTCTCCCCCCAAAACCCTTAAACCCTACTTCAGGTATTTCTTTGCTGTTTTGGCAATCTTAACCATTCTGGGAGTTCTTAATGGATTGGTGCTGCTTCCTGTTCTTCTTTCGTTCTTTGGACCATACCCTGAGGTCAGTAAAATTAATGGCAAACAGAAGAAATAATGTTATGTGTGCACCCCTGCCCTCCCTGATCAAACTCCCCCCCCCCCCCCCCCCCCCCCCCCCCCCCCCTAGAAACGCTTTATTTTTAAATTATCTTGGATTTTTTTTTTTTGTTAATTTGCTTTTTTGGTTTTAGTTTGCAAGTTTCTTGCTCTAGTAGTTGTGGAGCTTTTGTAATCTTTATCAAAAGTGCTGTTTGTTATGTAGTTGATACTCCTCTATGTTTTTAAATAAGTATTGCTTTAGAGGCTGCAATCAGCAAACTTGATACAAGTGTAGGATTATTTATGCTTTTAAAAGCATAATGTGATATGCAGACTAGTTTGTAAAATAGGGATTTTTTCCCAGCATTTTGCAAAAGACAGTTCTTTTTGTACCCACACCACCTTTCCTACTTCACTGCCTCTGCTGCTTTCCTCAAAATGTTTAACTGAGCAGACCACCAGGAAGGCATGTGTGGACCAACATAGAGCAGTGGTGGTCTGCAGACCACACCTTGACAGCCATGACTGGTCTGCCAGAAGGTCCCTCCTGTCCTGTCGCCCCTCCTTGTGGTATGCTTTTGGCTCAAGCAACATTCTTCATGGGTGGAAGCCTTCACTTAGATGTTGATGACTTTACAGTATAAAGCCCAAGTCCAGCCAAAAATCATTCATAGATATCAAATTTGTATTTGGTTGTTGACTGTTCATTACTTGCTCTACACAATTCTATGTCTACTTTACAATTACTGCCTTACATAGGGCAGTCTTTATCACATTGTGTCTATATGTGTATGTGTGTGTACAAGAGTAAAACATATGTATGTACAGCACTAGTAATATTTTAGAAGTATTTATTGGTTTAGTATTAGTAAAACATGCTGTACATACACATTTGAGGTGATTTTATGAAATCACTGTTAATGCATGCTGAAGTGAGAGGGAAGTCCGCTTACTACTTTTGTAAATGCAAGTGGATGCACGTGCACACATTACATGAACTTCCTGAGACAATGGTACTCAGAAGAATGGGTTATCGGGATAAACGTCCATCAGAAAACTGGTGCTAAGGTTCTCAGGGCATGAGAGGGTGAATTTGGAGAACATCATTTTTGTCAAGTACTAGTGATTAAAAGGCTAATGCTAACTGAATGTTATTGAATGCACTGTCATTATCAGGTTTCTCCAACCAATGGACAAACCAGGTTGCCTACACCGTCTCCTGAGCTGGCCCCCAGCATCGTGAGGTTTGCACTGCCACCCACGCACACACACAATGGGTCAGATTCCTCTGATTCAGAGTACAGCTCTCAAACCACAGTGTCCGGCATCAGTGAAGAGCTTCATCAGTATGAGGCCACACAAGGCCCTGGCGCACCAGTCCACCAAGTAATAGTGGAAGCCACTGAGAATCCTGTCTTTGCAAGATCCAGTGTAAGCATATTGACTGGCAGGAGGGCAAGGAGAGTGTTTTGGGGTTATTTACACTACTTATTTTTGTGGGAAGCTCTTTCATATTTCTGCTGATTATGCTTTGTGGCTTTGTGCCAAAAGTTGTAAGCAGGGAGTGAAGGGTCCCCTTCTTTAGGATCAAGTTGGGAGTAAAGTGATGGTATGAAAGCAGAGGTCTTTGGCATGTGTAATTGCTGTTGCATCATATTGGCACCAGCCACAAGAGAGAGCTCTCAGTCTGTTTGATTACTATTTTCAGAGAGAGAACAGGAGGGATTAAAAGATCCAGACCTCTTGCACACAACTCCTTGTGGATCCCCATCTCATATACCTCTCCTCTGCCAGCACGTTTTGGAGAAAAATATTGATAGAGCCAGAAGAAAACAGTTTCAGGGTTGTACCAAACCACGAGCCTGTTGCATCTTGCTGCTGGGTTGCCATAATTGCATTTTCAAAGGAAAGTGAAAAAGCTCTGTCTCCTACCCCTGCTGATGCTGCATGCTGAGCTGCAATGCGGATCTGTTTTTGTTCAGCAGAGGCCTAGAAATAGGTACAAGCACAGCCACATTTGAAGTTGGTCACGGTTTATTGACTGATGTGGCCGCTGCGCTTCACGCTTTTTATGGAAATCAGAAAACAGATTCCTACAGTCTATACAAACTACCCTACTAACATCCTGTGTGTGTACCCTCCATGGAATAGAGCCTTTTCCAAATGCCTGCAATTCTTCTTGTTGAATGAGTTAAGATCAAGTGCTTGTCACTGATCCCTTTGAAAAGATGGACTAGTATGTAGGAAGCTTACACTAATGTTTTCAGCTGTCATCCTGTGTTTTTCTGAAGGTATGCTTTCCAGGTTTTAATAACTTCAGACAAACACTATCTGGAAAATCAACAGTTATCAAACTCTAGAACATTTCCTTTGTAGAATTTGATCCAGGTCAGCTTTATTGTAATTGTTAGAGCCAGGACAGCATTATTACAATTGTTCCCAGCGTAAAACACAAGCGAGTGTGGTATTTGTTTGCCTTGCTGTGCCAAAGGCATAACAGTGCATTGCTCTTTCAGGTGGTTCAGCCAGAGGCACAGCATCAGTCGAGCCCCAGATCACAGTTGAATCCAGAGCCTGGCACACAGCAGACATGGCGTCAGGGCAGACAAGCTAAACGGGAAGCGAGGGAAGGGCAGCGACCACCTCCTTACCGCCCTCGCAGGGATGCGTTTGAAATCTCTACTGAAGGGCATTCAGGACCCAGCAACAGGGATCGCTTGGGCCACAAGACTCGTTCTCATAACATAAGAAGCCCAGCGTTCAGCACCCTGGGCGCCACAGGACCAGCATACTGCCAGCCTATCACTACTGTGACTGCCTCAGCTTCAGTGACTGTTGCTGTCCACCCTGCGGTGCACAGCCGCAGCTCTCGGGGAGGGAGCTTTCCGTCCTACGAGGGATACCATGAAGCTGACCATGGGCCATTTGAGGACCCCCATGTGCCTTTTAATGTGCGGTGTGAAAGAAGAAATTCTAAAGTAGAAGTTATAGAACTGCAAGATGTCGAATGTGAGGAAAGGACACCCAGCAACAGCTCACAGTAAGGTAGGTACATCTCCTGTAGCTACAAGCTCTGCCTGTGTTGGGCAATGGTGTGATCAAAAGAAAGACAAAAGATAAAATTCTCTGAGCTACCTGTTCCTCAGGTAGGCTTACTTACTGGTTGCAGATCATCTTAAATATGCTATTAAACTGTGAATATAGTACATTTTGCACTAGAAATCAGGTTGGGTAATATGGTACTTGCCAACACTGAGCAATTGTAGTGGGTTCAGACATTAACTGCTTCCAAGAGCCTTGCAAAGTGGGTAAGTACATCATGCGGTCCCAGCTTACTGGGTGAGGAGAATGAAGCAGAGATCATGAGCAACATTCCTAAAGCTGTGCAACTGCATTTACTGTTGATAGGTCCTGTCTTCTCATCCTGAATCAAGCACGTTCTGAAACATTACACAGAATGATGTTGCCTAGGAGAGTGTAACGTTGCCAGCTGCTTCGAGGGTTGTCCTCTTGAATAAAACTCTGTGAAAGAATTTGAAGTCTGAGCACTGAGTCCCTATGGGAGATGGGCTAAGTGAGAGGTGGGAAGGCCCCACCATGCCTCGTGCACTGCTGTGTGCGGGGCGACATTCGGAGACCCTGGGGGAGTCCTTGGGCTCCTTTGGGTCAGTTGCAGTGCCTGTGGCAGATTTGCATAGGGCAGAGCCAACCTAGCATGGTGTTTAAGATGTTCCTGTGAAACAACAGATACCCCCATGAACTTGTGAGACGTGATACATAAATCATAGCCTGTCTTTAGGCCGGCAACAGCAGATTACAGTGCTGTTTAGAACAGACAGGATACTTCAGCAGATGTTTTGGGAAGAATAAAGCTGTTCATGTTCTTGAAAATCTTCTACTAATTTTATAGGGAATACTTTGAAGGGGAGAAGCTAATTGAGCTTTTACACTGACAGGTTTCTGGGGCTTGTGCCTAAAACCATCTCACCAATTTAACCCCATTTTTCTCTTCTGGGATAAAGTGTTACAATAGTTACTTGGCTCTGGACCCCTGTTTTCTCTGTTTTTCAGAGCTTTTCAGTGACAGACACTAGTTTGACCAGACGAAACCATTTTATTTGGGTTATTGAACTATTTTGCATGTATGCATGCACAGACGCACAGACGGGGAGTTTTGATGGAAAATTTTTGATGACTTAATCAAAACATCACCCTCTGATTTATGAAACGTCTCTCCAAACATCCCAAAGTGCAAATAGACATGAATGCCTTTAGCCTTGCAGTCTAGAAATGTGGCAAGTAACAGTATCCACAGAATAAGAAAATACTTGGGCTAAGCTTTTTCAAGCTGAACTGCATGGTGGTGTGAGATTCTTAAGTGTGCACCGTACTCAATATAGCATATTCCTTCTTGAAGCATTCATTGGTTTTGACTGAGTTTGTTGCAGGTATCTGGAGCTGGGAACTCAGAAATTAAAGCATCTGCATTTTTTTTAATTGGCCCAAGTATTTCGTTACTGGGAAATTCATGACTAATATGAAAGCAGAGCCCATGTTTCCTAACCGCTAACTGTAACCACAAGAATCATGAAATGAATTTCGGATTAGCTTGATTTGTTTGTTTTTCTTGAACTTTAATGAATATTTGCTTTTCTTTTCTCTTTATTTGTAAAAGATAATAACTGAAGCAAAGAAGAGGCCAAAGATAGAAAACTCTATTTCCAGAACTGCTTGAATTGAAGAACTGCTTGAAGTTGTAGAAAAGGACATGCTGCATCAGGACAACAGTTCACTGTTACTGTAACCTATTGTATTATTTTGTTAAATATTTCTTTAAGTATTTAAAAGATGTACACATATGTAATATACAAAAGAACAATGTAAAGTAGTATAGTCTGGAGTCATTTGCCTCTGGGCAATAGAATGGGGACAATATTGTGTGCGCTTTGTACTTTTTGTACATTGATCTCTGTGCCACAACTAAGCTTAATCTAGTTCTAAATTCCAGCATAAGTTGCTGCTGCTTAAATATTTTATACTTTACGTGTATAACTCTATGCAAATATTGCTTATGTGATAGGGTTTTTTTAAGGTACATGTCTCTTTAAAGTATTTTAAGTTTGCGTATCACAACCCTGTGGTAGGATGAGGTGTTACTGCTAACTTTCAAACACGCTATGCATGATAATTTTTAAAATAAGCAGATATGAAGAAAAGCAAGTTAATCTGGGAGGCTTAAATAGATTTAGCTATGTGCAGGTTCTGTTTTGCTGTGTGTATCCATGTGTGCATCTGGAAGTTTGCATGCTTTTGTGTGTATGTTCCTGGTGTACTGTAGTTTCCCTTTACTGTATGGCAACACTTAGTGGGCTTATCAACCCACTGATGCTGATATAAGTCTGGCTTTCCCTGTTAGCAGGCACTAGTGAAAACCATGTTGGTGTTTATGAACATGCAGCATAGACTGCCATCATGAAAGGCCCAACTGAAATAGAAAAGAAGACAGGGAGTCAAGGTTGAGGTTGTGGTTCAGTTTCCCACAGACTTAATGACTTGGTTCACATGGCTTTGGTCAAGTCACTTAACTGCCCTGTGCCTCAGTTTCTCATTCTGTAAAATGGGTGTAATTACACTTACCTACCTCCCAGGAATGTTGTGAGGCTTAGTTACTGTTCCTGTAGTGCTTTGATTTTGATTCTTTTCCTTTAATTTTTCTTTGCAAAAGGTGCCAGGTAAGTGCAAACACTATAACCATCCTTGTTCCACTTCCAAAGGTGCTGGATATTGAGAAATGCTGGTTATAGAATTTCAGTGAGCATATGCTTTATTTTGATATCAATACTATTAACTATGCGTGGCATTAGAAGTTGGATAATTGAGTTGTTTGGTGGTGAGAAACAGCTCAGCTGTGTCCTTCCAGCATTGGAAGCAGTACCATTGGTCACCTTACTTTCATGGCAGGAAGGAAGTTAATAGTAAGTGATAAAAAGTAAATGGAAGGATAAAAAAAAATAATCTATTTTCACTTTATAAATATAAATGGCTTTCTGGATGAGCCCAGGACTGTAATGACACGAAAGGCCTGGGATGTTCTTTTCTCTATAGTTTGTGTTTTCCCATGCTGCAGTGGCACTTTTAATTAAAACAGCTAAACTGGGATCTCTTTGCGAAACTAATTTAGCTTTTTGCATTATTATTTTTTTTTAAACTAAAAGGGGATAGCTGCAGGTGAAGGGTCTGTAAAAAACACCACACTCTGTGTTCCAGCTGGAAACCTTACGAATGGAGAACCTTAATTTAAAAACTAATAGAAGTTTTCATTATCTCTGACTTCCTCTTTCTTCATCTTTGTTCTGCCCTTCTCCAAGCTGTTTTTAGAGCAGGCAGATGTTCAGTTACGTATTCAGAGCCAAACAAACACAACCAATATTCTGTTCCTAACCACAGTAATGGTGGGGTTTTTGAGTACAATGCCTGAACAGCAGTGGCCAATTCTTTGGTAGGAAAGTGTTTTTCTCCAGTGGCTTCAGGGAGTCTATCTTTGCCCACAGACCTTGCCAGCATAACGAATGGGGATAAGTAGAATGCACAAATTTCCATGCCTTTTTTTGCTCACTTGAAAACACTTTGATATGAGGCACTTGTTTACAGATCTCCAATGTGAACACTCGAAGAGCAGGTGGTGAGAGCCTGGTGTCATTCCCGTGATACATAAGCTACTGTCTCAATGCACACTAAGGGTTAATGTCGCAACTGCCTACTGGTCCAGTTCACTGTCTAACCTGGAAACTCTGAATGACAAAAAGACGAGGGGCCCCCATTTAGCACTAGCAGCATAGTGACCTCAGATCGTACACACTCTGCCACAAAACTGTATGATGCTAATTGGAAGCTGCCTTTAACCGCCAAGCGCCTGCACGGCTCCCACTGACACCTCCACCACACCGGGGCTGCCTCACTTCCTCCTCTTCCTCAGGAGCGAAGGGGGCCAGGGTGAGCCGCGGTGTCTCCTGCCTGCCCCTGCCCAAGTTCTCCTGTGTGCTGGTGTGTGGGTGAGCTGTCTGCTGCTTCTCCATAGTCACATTGGGAAGGGGAGAACTCAGTGGCTGGCAGTGTTTGTTTTATTTTGTAACTTTTTTTAATCATGGGTGATATTTATATTTTTGTATCATAAGAATGTTTTCTTACAGTATTTGTCATGCCAGTTTATAACAAACAAGATGCAGGGATTTTATTTCTATTGGAAAACACTATTACAGTTATGTTGTTACTGTTTAATGGATTTTTATTTGTATAGAGTGCTTACTAATGTTAAATAGGAAAGAGTATATAACATTTACATTAAAGACTCGTTGTAGCTTTTTGTGTAAGGAGTTAAAAGGAAAAAATATCCGAACTGGGTCTCATTGCCTGCCTGTTTTGGTAGGAGTGGGTTTGTGTCATTTCAGTTACAAAGATAAAATTATGCCATATAATTTATTTATATGAAAATTTATTTTTGTAGTGTACATAGTAGTCATCAAGTCTTTTGACAGAAGTATATTTTTAAAGAGTTTATATGTAATGATGATACCATTATGTTTTGGAACACTGCTGAGATACAATTATGGTGCACAATTTTCCTTGTAACCCCCCTGGCAGAAAAGAAAGTGTTTAACAGTGTTAAGAGAGAAAGAGAGTGTGAATAATCATACAATTCTGAACTGTGTTTTAGTTACCGTTTGCGATCTAGCGTGGTTCTCATTTTAAACTTTGAATGGAAATTGTACAAACTCTCTAAATATTAATGTTCAAACACTGATAGAAATTCTAACATGAATAAAAAAAAATATAAGTTACTGGTTGATATGGTTGTTTATAGAATGCTTATGTATTGCTGGTCAGCTGTGCAGGGATGGGCATGCAGTCATTCTGACAAGGAGCATGAATTTGGGGTGTTCTAGTATTGGAGATTTTGGGAGATCCAGATTTGCCAATTTTGGACCAGGATCCAATGTCTAAACTGTGACATGCTGGGGCTTTTCTGTTGATTCCGTTACCCATGTTATGTCTTGGAGAATAGGATTACCTTTCATTTTTACTCTCACTGAACCATTTTGTGTATGCTTTGAATCCATGGGTAAAGCAGTTGATGTACAAGTTATTTCTCCTTTGAAGCAGGAGGAAATTCTTTGCCTTTTTCCAGCTCTGTGGTTGCTCCCTAAATTGGATTAATCGTCTGTTTGTCCCACTTTGTGGAACAGAAAATAAACAAACGTGGAGTTCTGAAAACCACAACGCTCCATAAGGAGACTCTTGACAGTCCTTCTGGGAAGTGTGCTTGTGACCTGTGCAGCCAGCATGCAGGTTCCCATGCACTGCACGAGAAGAAGAAGAGGCTATGGTGGGTGAAGGTTGTAAGTAGCAACATCTGCCTGCAGTCACCTGCATCATAAACCCCAGTGGGATTTGTCCTGTGCAAACATACTGTGCTGAGTATTCAGCTAAGTGCCACAGAGCCAGCAATCCTTTCCTTTACCCATCAACTGCTGGGTGAGGTTTTTTTTCAGAGGTAAATTTCTCACAAAAAAAAACCCAGAGATGTCTTGGGGTAATTTATGATTCCGCCTCTGCTTTTCATGGTCAGAGGAAATACAAATGCAACTTTTATTTTATGGTTTTGGGAAGTTTCACCAGAAAAAATACAGTGAAAGGACTTGAACTGCAAAACTCCTGCACATGTTTTTGTGTTACTCAGAATACTCTCCTTCGATCCTCAGTACCAGACAGACTTGAGTCAGGTTGCAGGTTTGGCCTTAGCAGGTTACAGCCTGTGGGAACACTGGCCACCGAAGTCTGGCATTAGCTCAACTCATTGGCTTAAAAGGCCTTTTGTGTCCCTGGGAGCAGCTCCATTCACAGGACTGGAAATGATATGAATAAGTCAGTACATTCTGCCAGTCAGAACACAGGATTTTTCTTTATAAATTCCATTTTGCATCAATGATAGCTATTTACCTTACACTGCTTGTCACGTTTTGATTTCCCCTAAATGGCTCTTCTTGTTGTCAGTCTTATTAGCCCCAGGTAAGACCTTACTTCAGTTTTTGTCAGAGATTGGCCATATTTATTCAGGCCTTAAGTAAACATGTGGCCAAATTTTTGTTGGCATAACGCATGTATTTAACAGCTTCAGGAATGCTGCATGCTGCTAAACTGCAGCAGCACTGATGTATGAACAGGTGTTTCATTTTTGTTAATTTTCACTCCCAATGAGCATTCGAGACACTGTTTATATCTGAAAACCACCGTTGCCAAATTGTAATTACTTTTAATGGCTGCTGCAAGTAATGAGAACAATTACTACTTCCCTACTCCATTTAATCATTCTTGTCCTTTTTGTTGCTGACAAGTTGAACCTTACTGCTGGAACAGGATGCATGCCAGGAAACTGCACTACCCAGCCTGAGTGGCTTAAAAAAACACATGTCCAGTTTAACTTTACGTGGTTAATTGCAGCTAATTAAACACAAAAATGAAGCAGTACTGCTGCTTTGACAAAAAAAGTTTAATATATATCCTGGCACATTTGATACTGCAGAAACTATTCTGCTTCTATGGATACTATGTAAGCAAAGGAAACCTCTGCCTCAGACTCTCAGTTGTCTGCAGTGGCACCCAGGCCACTCACCACCCTGCAAGAGCATTTCATAGGAACACTTCCACCCTTCTTGTAACAGCTGTAACTGCATGTGTCACTAGGTTTCTGCTGCTACTGCAGCTGTACGTGCATGCCACTGATGCAAGGTAAGGCTGCAGTGGAGACAACTGTGGGTTAGTGACTGTGGTGTAACTCAGCCTGTTACCACTAAAGACAAGGCAACATGCACTTTGGTTTGTTTTGCTGTTCATACCGTCTTCCCAGGCTCTTCCCCAGGCTTAGCTCAAGCTGCCAGTCAGGAGCTGTGGGATCTTTTTTGCTATTGGAATTAGGACCTCACATAAAGGTAAAAGTGGAGATACTCTTTTGCACAATAGAGCACAAAACCCTTGTGGCTTTTCTGGCTGGCCTGTCCATCCCTTGAGCTCTAAGCTTCACAGTGGGGCTGACCTTGCAGGTCCCCATCTGCCTGCAGACACCATAGCCTCGTGAAGCCTGCCAGGGAGCCAGGCTGAGAGCCACAGCAGCTGGGAAGGGGGGGGGTGGGGGGGGTGGGCTGGAAGCTGGAGGTTGGAAACCGCTTCCCAGGCAAGGGAGGGCTCTGTCTCAGTGGAAGAGGAAGGGCTGGGAATTTGGGGCCAGGCTTCATTTGTGAGTGAGTGAATTAGGTGGGTTTCCCCATCTGTTGAGGGGGAAAGACCACTGAAGTGCTGGAAAAGAGATTTATGGTACAAGTGAGAGACCCTGGGTGCACTGGAAGAAGGAGAGCTCCACCATCTGATTTAGTAGACCCATAATGGTATTGCAAAAATATTTCAGCACCTAGGTAAGACTGATTTTTCTGTTCCAGGCTGTGCCTAGTTTAACAACCCTGGATTTTTTGTTCTGAAGTTTACACTGAGGAATAGAATTCTAGGGAGGAATGTCTGGCTATTATGTATGGTATACTATTCAAACCCTTCCTTTAAGCCACACTGTGTAACTTGGGCACAGTGACTCACCCTGTGGAAGCGTCCCTCTTCTGTCATTGACTACAAAAATACACAGATTTCTGACCATGGAGGCTCCAGCTCATACTTGAGCTAGATGCTCACATCTGAGGGGGAAAATTAAGCCAAAAAAATCACCTTCCCCCCCCCCCCCTCAGATTGTATATCATGATCTAGTCAATGGTACTCTGGGACTTCTTGAATGGATCCATATACTTCAGGAGTCTTTTTGAGCTGTGTCTGAAACAAGAAGCTGTACAAGGAAACCAACAAGCTGAAGGTTTCGTCTGTGGAAGTGACCTGCCTTACACCTACCTGAGACATGCGACATGCAGAAGAGGTATGCTGGAATATGCCTCCAGGACACTGCCATGTACAGTCTTTCTCTCATTATTGTGATATTTTATAATTGTGTTCTGTTTTGGCCACTCTCCAATTATCACCTTTTATTTTCTTTTTTCTACAGATCTTGCAAAACCTTTTCAGCCAAGAAAATTGCTGAAACCTCTATGCAATGACCTACGCTGTGCCTTTTATCCCTGTGGAATTGGATCTCTGCAGGGAAAAAGCT